GTTTCGGATGTTATTATTGCTATCAAGTCACTCAGTAACACAGTGACTGGCGATAATTTGAGATTAATTATGCTTTGATTATATTCTACCGGCCATACAAGTACAATCTATCGGTTCAAATTAACGTAGATTAGTCCAAGCATAGCAAGTAGGGTCCGGAGACGAAGACGAAAAGCTAGCACTTGCATTTTAAAAGTTCGTCACAGGAACTAGTTTCGTGGTTCGGATTAAGCGCCATCTATTACACATTTCATCTAAATCTATGTAAAATTATTTTTATGTTTATTACTGTTATGGTTTATGACATTTTGCTGCGAATTTCTTCAAATTCGATACAACATTTTGGATATATTTATAATCACGTGAGTGATTACATGTGAACTGTAATCTTCTGTGGAAAATACCATTGTTATATGTTTCTCCAGGAGAGTATGAAAATCATTTTTCGATTATATCAATAATAATAATAATAGTTTTATTCATAAAATACATTAAATATACAAAGAAACCCTCTAAAACCGAAGTTGTGCGTAGGACTCCTATCGCGAAATGCATAATTAATGAGCTGAATTGGGAAACAATACAATTATTTGTAATATAGCGTACTTTATACAGGGTGGCCCACCACATTCGCCTCGGTATTTCTAGGAGAAATGAAGGGAGTTAGGAAAAAACTTTTAGCACAGTTATATGTGGGTCCATGAGGAGCATATTCCAAAATTATTTTGAAATATACAGGGCGACTCTCAAAAAAGTTACATACCAAGGTTATAGGTTATATTTTTTCTAATGGAACACCCTATATTTTTTTATATTTTTAGATACTATAGATGAATTACTATTTTCCATAGCACCATCTAGCTGCATCCACATCCGTTGACGAATATTAAGAGGTATACTTTCCAGCAGCATAGGCAAATCATCCCTAATAAATCCGAGAAACATGACGCCGTTTGAATGATTGTATGTATGGCAAGACATGCAAGCCAGACATGAATTGAATGCTTCCCTGAAGGCATCACCTTTATGGGATAACGTAAAAACATTATCGCTAACCACTAATATGAGAGTTCAACTTCAAAATGATCAAAGTGCTGCACAATTTTCCAAACAATTGTTAGCTGTTGGAAATGAAAAAGTCCCAGTTGATGCGACATCTGGATTAATTACTCTTACCAACGACTTTTGCCGATTTGTAGACTCTCAATCATAAATGTTTCTTCATCTATTAATCACCAAACGAAATGTTACATAAAACGAAGCCATCTGGTGGCGAAACGGAGTTCGCCGGGTTTGCTAGTAGGTATATGTTGATCCAGAATGACTTCCTGAATAATGACCTAATTGTATTTTGTTTTGATTAATTTCCACTGTTACGATCACAATGATCTCACTTATCACGACCTTAATACTAAAGGTCGTTATGACAGTAACAATAGGGTCCCACAAAGGATCACAAAGGACATCGTAGGCAAATTGTGATTCGATATATATACATTTTTTCCAAGAAGGTCTTTGAGCGAGTTGAAATAGCTCCATCTGTTTGAGTGGCTCAGAAAACATTGATTGGCATTGGCATTGAAAAGGAAATCAGATAACCTGACATGTGGTCTGAATGCCACTTCCACATTGTTTTTTCTGAAGAAACCCGTAATTATCTCTGTTCTTTTTCCAAAATATGTTAGAGTTACCCATTTTTTTATTTCTGGTTGTTTGACCTGAGGGTATATTAATCTGTAAGTGAATTTACGACTTTGTTTTCTGACTAACTTCTGGATAGTATCTGCGTTGAAACCATCATTATGACTTACCTGTGTTGTTATATCAATTTCTCTAGCTAAATTGTCTGCAGACAAAGGCAATGAGAATGATCTGTGCAAACATCAAACTCAAATTTATTCTGATTGTGTGTAATGGCCAGGTCTAAGAAATGTATCTGTTTCTCTATCTCTATTTCGAGTGTGAACTGAATGTTGCTATTGAGAATATTCAGGAATGTCATGAATTGATTCAGCTGCCGTGTAGTACCTCTGAAACAGATGAGAATATCGTCTACATATCTGTACCAAAAATGAATATGTTTTTAACCCAGGTCGGAGTTTACTATAAAGGTCTCCAAGTTGTTCATAAATGTGTCTGCTAAAAGTGGACTAAGGGGTGAGTCTATTAGTAAACCTGAATCCTGTTTATAAAATTTGTTGTTGAACTGTAGGTAGCTCTGATTTATGCACACATCGAAAGCTGTTGAAACTTCAAAGGAAGTGATATGGTCTACTTTTTCTTGCTCTAATATGTCTAAAATGAGGGGCTTACATACTCTTTACATCGAATGTAACTAAAATTGAATTATGTGGCGTGGTTTGGTTCCTTATTTTTCTACTAAAGTCAGTGAACTTTTAATGCTGTGAAGTGGAACGAAATTGGTAATATTGTTGAACAACTTGTTAAGACATATTCCTAGTTCTCCAACCGGTCTTATGGGGTTATTCTTTTTATGTGTTTTTATCAGGCCATATAGTTTAGGGCAAGAGGGGTTCGTGTTGGTGCTTCTCCGTTTCTCTGATTCTGTGAAGATGATTTAAGTATCGGAGAGGAACTTTTTCAGTTCATTTTGACAATTTTTCGTCGGGTCTTTCTTGATGACAGTAAGGTTTTTATTTTGAATGTCTGGTTCAATTATTTCAAACATTCATTTAATATTCGTTTCTATTTCAAACTCCTTGCACTTATCAAATTCCCGAGTATTTTTAGCGAATTAAATGATGGCTATCTTGATTAATGTAATAGTTTGCTGCCAATATATACGAGGGATTGACATTCGACAAAAGCAGAATGGAAACAAAACCTCCGTATAAATCATTAGAAAGTAGTACAAGCATAGGTCAATTATTTAAAAGGTCCTTTCACGTTGTGTACGCGCGGGAAGCATTGAAATGCGTAATTCTTTTGTGCGAAGATGGTCGTTGGTGCGTGCTGATCAGTGGCGTTCATCAGGGGTGTAATTTTTATCAAAAATAGCAACATTATATTCATATAAGAAAACAAAAAAATGATTTTATTCGGTTGGTGTCTGACATTGAGTACTATTTTTAACAATTCCAACAATTTTAATTTTTTTTTTCGGTTTCATAAATTTTTCAAATGACGTTCCAAGAAATAATTCCATTTTCAAATTATTTGACTTGAAACTTCAATTATTATTATAATTATCACTTCGTGACTGTCACACGAGTGGATTTTGGAGTTAGTTCGAGCATCAATGAAAATTTATCATTTTGGAAATATTTATTCCCAGAAATTATTCATTCTAGAAGGTTTTCTACTTTTCATTTGTAATTTCTGCATGGATTGTTTGCAAAGTCATCAAATAACTGATGAACTGTTGAATTTCAGTCATCTTCTCATTTTAAGGAGTAACAGCAAAGCTGATATGGTTTTATCTCTCTGAAATTTTACTAAAAGACTTTTTTACATACATTTTGAGCCCTGTACCGTATATTATTTATTCCCTACAAATATAACATAGAGAAATAATAGAAAGCTATACTCAACAACAAAAAAACCAGTCAACAAAATTTTAATTCCGTCCTAGGGATCGCAGATTAGAAGATAAAACCTCGTTCATCCTCAGCTCGTACAAATTTCCGATTGTCAACTTGATATTTCAGAAATGTAGAAATGAAGAAAAGCCTATACTTTCATTTACTTTACTTTTTATTTATTCATTAATGGATTCATAAATAAATGATTGAATTGAAAGAAATGAAACAAGAGTTAGTGATTTTCTGGTTGTTTTTTGTTTCAATTATGTGGATATTAGCTATGGAAAATGTTCAACTATGGAATAATAAATGACACAAATCTCAAAAATCAAAAACACTCAAAGTGTTCTGCTAACCAAGTTACTACCATTTCTAAGGAATGACCTACAGGCTCCAAGATCCTATAAGAAATCATTCATCATCTTTACCAAGCTATAAATATAATCGCATTCTCAATGGACCTGTTTATACAGGATTCAAAATGTATAGTCATCCACCAAATATCAAATAATTCAATGGAACAATTTATTCAGGCCATTCTCAGCTTCCTACACTGTAGGTTAATGGACTGACACCTCTCAGAAAACAACTACTCCCCTGGCTAATACCACGAAGAGCGTTGGATTATATCCGACAGGTGTGACTGCAGGATTCTTCACTGAAATTATTCCTGCAAATGCTGTTGATCTAATTGTTGATAATAATTCCGCAGCATCATCCGTTTTAGAATATTGAAATTTTGTGTAGTTATTTTAATCTAATTTTTTTCGTATAGGCATAATGAAACTTATACTACAGTCGACTTTCTTCTCTTTCCGCAAGTCTTGAAAAATTGATGTGTATATAAAAATTAGTTAAAATATTATATTATTATGTATCAACTTGGAAATAAAATCTAATCGTGTGTTTTATTTTTGCATCATGCTTTAGAAACAAACAACAGTTGAAGGATCGAACCATTTTCACTGAAATTCCCAGAATGAGTTAAAGTAAGCACGCCTATGTAATCTACCCCATGCACACATGACAGCGGGCATATGCAGCTGTCTGGAAGCCCCCCCTAACTGCCGTTACGCTACGTTCATAACCACCAGTCGTACCTTTACCATCGAGTGATACGCATTGAAAAAGCCGGTAACAGTTCGACTTCTAACGGCCGAAAAGTTATCCGTAATAATTAATGAAGTGTTCCTTCAGTAGTGTTGAATCTCTCAGCTATAGTGACTTCGTGTTGAAATTAATGAGCTTGAACCGGGCTAAAAGTATAGTGGTCAAATCTCTGAGTTTTTGCAATGGCTAACAAACAAAACTTCTACACCAACCCTGCATTCTGCCAGAAAAGCGAACTACCTCAACACCCTCCACGAGCTCTCAGTCCCAAAGGTGACATTAGGCAGTCTCCACTAGGAGCACAAACTGTCTACCACCACAAAGATTCCCAAAACCCCGACGTCGAGGCAGGTCTGCAGGAACAAGAATTCTACGAAGAAGTAGTTGTAGACGATAAAGGCTTCATCACAGACAAAAAATTCGTAGTGGTAGCCCAAAACAATGAAGGGAAAAAGTATATCCAAGTTCCTCAGTCAGAAGCCTCTCAAGGAAGTAGATATGGGCTGCCTCAGCCTGTTAAAGCCAAAGAAACGAAGCTTGTCAGAAGCCAGAGTCAGAGGTACGAGTATATCCAAATGCAGGAGCAAGATGTAACTCCCAGGAAAAAACAGTATCGAGAGGAAACTGCGGTGGCACCTCCTGGGAGGGTCCACAGGTATGCTGTAATAGAAACCGAAGAAGAAACCGAGCTGACCACGAAAAACGCTAGATACGCATTGGTGCCAGTAGAACAGCTCCCGGGAGTTGTTACCAAAAACAGGTACGAGTACATCCCAGACCAACAGAGGCCTCTGTCACCACCTGGTGCTGTGCGACATAGAAACGACTACATCCAGGACCAACAGAGACCTTTATCGCCCAATGGCTCCGTTACACGTAGCCCCAACAGATACGAGTACATCCAGGATCCACCACGACCTTGTCCACCACAAAGCCCTACTAGATACGAGTATATACAGGACTTCCCGAGACCTGCTGTGGCACAAAGCCCTCAAAGATACGATTATATTCAGAGGCCCCTCTCACCTCAAAGTCAGGGTAGGTATGATTACATCCAAGAGAGGCCTCCAGGACAGAGTCCCGCTAGAGGTAATCCTGCTGCGACTCAGAAGTTACATGAACTTCTATCGACACCTAAGAAGACTCTAGCTGGCCAAAAACACCTGCTTTCTCCTCTACCGGGAAGGAGGATCACCCCTCCTCATGTGTCACCTATTCTAAAAGAGTTCCAAGCTAAACCTCCTCAAAGTATCAGGACACAACCCTCCAGAGCCCAGCAGAAGTTGAACTACGCTATTGGAGCCCAGCATCTGGGGCAGCAGGATAAGAGACATACTGCTATAGTGGCTCCGATATGCTCGAACCTCAACCAATCTGTGTATAGTGAGACTACTTATTCCAAGTCGGGATCGTCTTCTAATTTGAGTATGAAGAGAGGTGCTGTGCAGAATACTTTGTCTTTTGCTGCTGTGATGATGTTGCTGTCTGGAGGCGTCACTTCTGGGCTGTGTTTTTATATGATTTCGGTGATGGGGAGGCAGTACTTTTTGGATTTTGGGGTCGTGGCCGGTTTCACGTGTTTGGTGTTGGGACTGTTGGGATTCAGGAGCAGGTATGTTTATTGGTTGCCGAACAGGAACTATATTTCTGGTAAGTTTTTTGAAGTGAGGGTTCAATTGTTCGAAAAATTCGCCATCTTGTGCAAATCGCCATATTTGATTCAGAGTGACTTTTTGTTATTTTTCCTAATCTTTCAATAAACCCTTCCGTTTGATATATCAAGGAAATTCTCAAAAACTAATCGTACATACATACATACAAACAAGTTGAATAAAATAATAATAAACACGTTTAATTCCTTTGATTCAGATTCACAAAAAAGTAAAACCGGAAAAGTAAATTGATATTATTCAACTAATGTAAAGGGTATGTTATACAACAGTATATCTGGAAAGCCTGGAACCAACTGCTGGAACCAGATTTGTGTAAAGGTATTTTCTTCAGTTATGGAAATGGAAAATAATGGATAGAAATACACCTATTCTATAAGATCTAGCAAATGCTATGACTACTCATAGTTTTGAGGTTCAACTCAGTACACCTCGTACTTCACCTCGAACTTCACCTGTATGTGTGTTTTTATGTTAGACCAGTAGTACAAAATTCTTGTCTCAGACGTACTCACCTTATGGTTGGATCTGTCCTGCATTGATGGATAGTAATACTCCCAAAACAGTCTGTCTCTTGAGCAATCAAGGAAAGTTCTGCTGATGAACAAATGAAAAACAACTGCAAAAAATGTTTGTGAACAAAAACCTGCACAAGTGTTGTCCAGGTGTAATTTAATTTTTGTCGTGGCAGTAGCCTAGTGAGTAGTTGTCGACAGGCATTTCCAATGTTCCTACATATCGCCAAATGTAGGAACATTGGATATATTCGAAATCTTTATATACTTATTGAATGAGAAATTTGTCCTGGTCACAAATTTCATTCAACCCCATTACATTTTCACAAACGTGATATACAGGGAGAATTACAAACAGTACTTTTGCATACATGGTCTTTCTTGAGTAATGAGTTTTATAATAACCGAGAAGTTGAAAGAAATATCAAATCGAATATTCGAAGTGGAAATCATTGGCAGTTCAACAAAAAGTGTAGCATTTTTCATGTTTATTATTGAAAGTCCTTGTGTGAGTCACATTTCTAGGCGAATTCCTTTTTTAAATGGCCAGTATTCTACTCTTCACATCAAAAAATCTAGAGGTATTAAATCTGGAGATCAGAGAGGTCAATCAATTGGGTAAATCTGGAGTAGGCTGCTTCAAATTTGCTGAATGGGCTCTCGATGAAAATCCAACCCAGTAACAACAATTTTGAGTTGAATTGTAGGCCGCTTTCGAAGAAAAAGCTTATGTAATTCACACAACAGATATATAAAGCACCCTTTTTACAAATCGTGCTTCAACCATTTTTAATGAAACTAGTCGAAAACAACTATTGATCTATTAGTATCCCAGCCAAAGCTGACCGTCATTATTTTTTCAGGATATCTGGTGCTGAGTTTCTTCAGCCTGCTGACCTGCACAGGTCTTCTGTTCCTTCTGGTGAAGCAACCACGTTCTGGAACACCTTTGGCCGATATGACTTCAGGTGCAGTTTGTGGAGTCTCAGTTCTCTGCTTGCTGATGGCAACCACAGGAGTGGTTTCGAGCTACTGTTGCAAATACCCACCTCCAGATAACAGAGTACAGCACTGTGCTGAAGGTTTCAGCGTTTGATACGGTCTTTGTTGAGGAACTAGTGAGAATATTTTTAGGTGAAATTTTGAAAAATGTTGTTTTTGTATTGGATGTGTGTGAAGTACCTACTAGGTTCTCCCTGAGAACATTGGCATCATTAACTCAGTTGCTTATTACTTAAGAAAAAATATTGTTCTAATTTTTTTCTAATATTCAAGATAGCTTCTTGTGATGTTTAGTCCCTACCTATTGTATAGTTTCCTTTCTATAGTTTAACTTTCCTTGACTCCTCTTCTGATTTGTGACTTTTCTAGGCTTTTTTGTTTCCTTTCTCACGATATTGGTTGAGCATTTTTCTTTCCTCAACAATAATTCAAACATTAAACAACGTATTTATGAGTATTGCAAAAAGCTTCAAAAATAATTTGAAGATGAGAGAAGAACATTTTCATTATCATAATGTGTATAATCTACAATTTATGATCATTCTTCGGATATTGTTCTTGAATTTCGAGGTGGACACTAAATTACACAAGAATGAAATTCTTCAAAAAAGTGCTATATACAGAGCTATTCAAATTCGTTTCTGTACATGGAGATCTCGTGAACGATAAGAGATAGAGTGTCTCGAAATGGATGGACTCCAATTCGAGACATTTTTGAACTCGGTTTTTCATATTATTTATTGCCCTTAATACACGTATTTGCTGCATTGTTGCGAAATCATTCAAAATCCTCAATCTGGAGTCTTCCACATTTTTTATCTCTCTGCCAGCGTAAACCCTATTTTTCAATGTCCCCCATAGAAAATAGTCCAAAATAGTAAGATCTGGTGATCTTGCAGGCCATCTTATTGGCCCATTATTTGTCTCGAAATGGAAAAGGACTCCAATTACTTCATTTCAATTTTCATTACAATTATAATGTTCGTTTCGGATGTTATTATTGCTATCATTTCTTTTTCTGCTCATAAAAATACATATAATATATTTTTATTGTAGATATGTTTCAGATAATCATAAAAGATTTTCTTATTCGAAGTTGATTGTAGAAAATGCTCAGAGCAATGGAAATATGAAAAAATATGAATAGGTATCTGAAAATGAAAAAAACCTCTCTAAAAACTCTACAGTACACAGCGGGGCATGAAAGTTGCTCAGTCAACCAATTTCCAGGGCCGTAAATTAAAAGGAAATAATTCACCCAATTATAATCAAATATTACCGAAACATCCTGAAATATAAAATAAAATTCAATTTCTCAGTATAAAGTGAACGTCTACGATCCAAAAACTACAACAAAAAATACAGGTCTGTATTTAAAAATTCAAAGATGGGGGTGGCCCAAGTCAGATGATACCCTATATAAAAGATTCATGAACATATTCTGATAGCCCACACCAAGTGCCAATAGCAAAATGTGGACAGATTTTCAATATGTCTGCGAATAAAGAAGAAATAGGCACTTAAATAATTTGGGAGTTTTTGATTTTCCCTGTATACCTCCAGAACCAAATGAACCATATTCGATTTTTTCACATCATTGAATAGGTCTCTAAAATACGCAACTTTGCCACACTGTAACCGACACTCTAGCTCTTATCGTTTACGAGATCCCCATGTACAGAAACGAATTTGAATAGCCCTGTAGGAACCTGTTGAATCTCAGTAAGATTATCAAAATGCTGAGTTAGAAATCCTTGACAAATCTGAAGATGTAGCCAACTTGAAACGTACTCATGTCTCTCAGGATATATTTTTTTTGAAAGAGGCCATTTTGGAACTAGGAACAGTAGCAAAATCTCACAAGCCCAACATTATTGAAAGATCGTGCAAACGCAAGCATTTCTATTCTGTTTCCCCATCAACAGCGTCGCTAAAAATGTTATGAAGCAGAGGATCCCGATGGCTTTTTTGAGGGTCTTCAGCATTTCATTCAATATCAGTGATTTTTCCTATACTGTATCTGTCAGAAATTCTGCAACTAATGAAGTATGTAAGCCACTGGACTGTCATGTTTTCTTTGTCCTGTTTTAAAAGTTCTGAATATGTATCACCTTTTTGTTATTGAGTTTCATTTGTCTGGACATTATTGTTAATTTTTGGAAGTTTCATTTTAATCAAAAATTTAAACTACTTGAAAATAGATTGTACAGAATGCCTGGAAAAAAGGTAAAACACAACTTCTCAGCTCCTGCTCCGTGGTTTTTCATTATTTCTCTATCTACGAATTCGTCTGCTATATTTGTTCCAAATAATGATTCTTCATCATTTAAAAAATGGTAGGTACTTCACATTCTTTTGCTAACATATGGTCCTTCAACCATAATTACTTTCAAATTCAATTTTCACGTTAATCAATTTTTGACTAGAGACTCATCTACCGATGAGAATCATGTCTCCACCATTGTTGGTTTATTTTTATTTATTGACATTTATTTCGACAGCTTTAATCCACTCGTAATGAGTATTGAAAATACAATGAAATAACTAAACTATGCTAATAGTAATACTGTTTTTTTTGAACTTTTTAAAAATATTGAAGCTGTCGACATAAACAAAATTATAACTCTGCAATACCGCCCCCCTTCACACGAAAACCATTTTTATGCTCCCTGTATAACAAAAATACAATAATGTGGATCATTTTTGTGGTTCCAAGTTATACGTGGGTTGAAAATTTGTTACTTTTTTTCGAGTAGAATGATTATATTTACATGAACAATTGACATTCATGATAATTCCATTCTCAAGTTATATATTTTCAATGGAGATGTAACTTGTAACTAAGTTCAAAAAGTTTATGCTTTCAAACAATTTTTATATACCGCCAGACTTTGCAACTGATAGTCATGACTTTCATATTCATTTTTTCTTGAAAACAGTGGGGTTGAAACCTTAATTATCAATTGTCACCCCCTGTTCATGCAGGTAATAATTGAGGATGTCTTGAAACAAAATAACATGTTAGAAAAGGAAATGCGGACCCATTTTGAAGGGTCCGTTGAACAGGGTGAATAAATTTTGAAGGAAGTTTCATTCTTAACAAAAACAAATGGACAATACCATCGTGGTTCGCTAGTAGAGCATATCGAGTTCTGCGGCTTTGCTAAGAATGAAACGTACAGCTTTTCAATGAGTTCATGGTATATTCGAGTTTGATCTAACTGTACATATTTTTGTTTTCTTTCTATGCAGAGCTGAAATTGAGATTTGACAAGCTAGAACCGATGATCAATTGATACATTATTCATGGACTAGAAGTTTCAGCTCTGCATATATGGAGTTATAGTCTACATTATCCAAAGATTACTTTAGTTCAATAGTTGGAAGTTGTTTCAGTTATTTGAAAATTATTCATTTTATTGGTGACTCTAAAATTTTGTGAGTAATTTTCAAATATTACAAAATAAAAATTGAGTCACGACTCTTTTTTTTACTTCTAGGAACTTTTAGTCATAAATGTATATTGAATGTTATTTTTATATGGATGTATATAGTATATAGTGCCTACATTATTTATTATTAATCGCTAAGTTTGAAAATGAAATGTATATTTGGCTGTTTTGATAAATGCAATAAAGAAGAACAAATTACCTTTTCATTTCATTAAATACATAATGTGGAACGATAATAGGCTGCATAAGACATTGATATACTTTGGAAAAACCACTAATAATGGATAATTTAAGCAAGTATATAAAAAATTATAACAAAATTTCAGTGTCGGATGAATCAGGCGTATTATGTGAGTTTTGTGCTTACCTAAAACTTTATATTGGCCAAACGGAAAGAGCCTTCTCCCAAAGAATAAAAGAACATAATGATCATACGGTTCAAAATCAATCGACCAATATATATCACGACACAGCAGATTAAATATTTATTGGTTCACCTTTTACTGAATATAATAATAGTGATGATGACAATATTTAATTTCCTTTCGACATATGAAATGTATAGGTATAGTCAGAAATAAAATAAAATGATAAAATGAAGTACATACAAAACGTAACAAAAATACCATAAAAACAAGTTTTCACAATAAAAATCATGAAATATGTATAGGTATAGTCAGAAATAAAATAAAATACATACAAAACGAAACAAAAATACCACAAAAACAAATTGTCACAGTGAAAATCATGAAAATACATTCAACAAGCACAAACTGATATTTAAAATATCCTTCAAAATACTCATCTAGTTAGTAAAAACATATTTTCAATAAAAAGTCATTTTAAGTTGTTTTGAAGCCTTTGTTGCTTCAACATTTTTGGGAAGTTGGTTATATATACTAGGTCCAATACAGTTAAAAGAATTTGGAACGTGAAGATTATTTTTTGCTTGTTTTCAATGTACTTATGAACATTAAAATTTTTATAAAATGCATCAAAATGTTCGAATATATGGACGTGAATTCACTTGAGAGTGATGGAAATTTATCAACTGATTTTGTTCCAGTACATCTTTCAAATTTCCAAAAAGAAATATGATGCTACCAAACTTTGACACTGACTGTTCACAATGAGATTTCCGGCTAGGAAATTCATCAGCAAGTACAATTAAAAGTTTTACGTTTTCTGCAGTTCTGCCCTTCAGTTCATCAATAGATATGATAGTGAGTTTTTGTTGAAAAATTTTTGTCTAGTATGAAACGTAAGGATTCGTGTTTTAGACTGGTTGAATGGTAAGTTATTTTCTGTGTTGGGACAAACGTTTTCAAACAGTAAAGTGCATTTCCCTGTATGCCAATATTATGTAGTGTAATGTACAGATTTTCGTGATCAACACAGTTGAACTATAAAGTGAAATGTAGTTGATAGAAATTCAGCATTCCTTTGGTATTTCACAAATTTCCATGAGAATGAAGCAGAAAATGGTTTTCAAAAAACTGGTCGGATAAGAAACATCATCACATGTGAATAACTTCACATTTACGTTCCACGTGTCACGTGTGTTGTGAATTTTCCATTGATACTCAGCGAAGTTTGCCAATATAATAAATAAAGAGGTTTGTGTGTGTTTGCATGTTTGCGAAGTCATCATGATGGAACCGTTCAAGGCTAACAACTAAAACTGATTACGAGATGGCTATGAAAGCGTTTGTAGAGTTTGTTTACAGACCATCCAGTGGTGCCTTTATCGATATTCAGGAACACTAGCAGGCTAGAAGTTTAATAAAATGTGATGAAATTGTAACACTTCAATCTGAGATTTTCACCGAACAGTTTACACGCCGGAGGATGTTATTGTACAGTGAAATACCTGCTGCCGTTTTGTAAAATGTTCAGTGAATATCTCAAAATGAATGTTAGCCTCTATCGGCCTTTTTTGGGTTTTTCGCTTTCCACAATCTGAATGGGTGTGTGTTTTGAATTTTTTGGCTTTGGGAGAGCCAATTAGCCAGATCACCAAGTGATCACCTTCAAAGAGAAACATTAAATTAGAAACTAACGCGAAGCTAACGCTATTTATGTTATATAGATATCCCATACAGGTAAACCATCCAGGTGTACCACCCATACAGGTATACCAACCTAAATTAATGCGTATTTTTATTAGTGTATATCGCTGAGAGGTCATTTTTCTCAGTGAACCAGGTTGTATCACTCAAAATCTTTGGTTCGGAGTTGGGACACCGAACATCAAAGGATCCGACGTTAATGTCGCTTCTCTGTGGTAGGTATTCTAGGACCTGGCACTACTTTTCAATATTATTAACGGAAAATTCAGTTGTGCTGAACTTCTAGAAAAAAAATGTTCTACATTTTCAAAACCGATCAACTCGATAACAACAAAACTCAACTACGGAATACTGTGCTTTAATGTTTTAGTGTATAATTGAATAGAACTGGCCCATACTTGATGAAAATCCATATTAAACAAGAAGCTATACAATAGCTTCTTCAGGCGTAAACTATAGCGTAGTGTATAGTTTAAGGTAGTATATGTTTTATTGTCGCTCATTGTTCTTTGTCGTTTTATACTGTAAAATTAACCCCTTTTAAACTTTCAATTTATACCTCTCAAGCTATTCTTAGTTGCAATTTGTAATTCAGTGCCTTATCTGATTTTATTTTAATTGTAATTTATACTTCAAATGGGCTTGCCCGTAAATAAATGAATATCTCCGGAATGAAATTTCGCACACCAAAATGTCACTATGAATGTTGTGAGTATTTAGGTCAGGTCAAAGCCCTTTTGAAACCAGTAAATAAATTTGGGGCAATATTTTGAAAATATCTGATTCCCATTCTGATAATTTTTAAATAATCCAAAAATACGCTGAATTCTGTTTCGTTTTAATTCCCGGCAATAACAAACACAGAAATGTATCAACTACTAATTTTTTCAATTCAGTTTGAATATTTCCTGTTGCAGTTTTCCACTACATTAACATCACTGTGCCGAATATTACCAACAAAACTTCAGAACACCCTGTACACATGCATTACTCCACCACGCCGCTGCGCTGCATCAGAAAAATAAGCAAATCTACAGTAAGTAGTTTATTTTCCCATTTTCTCTCACAAACGGCACCGGAACACCCGGCAACGCTGCGGTACCCAGGCAGGTACCACCAAGACGGTACCGGAGAGATGGCAAGGAACTCAGGAAATCGACTTCTTTCAGTTTCAATCACGACCGACTAGGATTACGTAGTGAACGTTGTGTTTTTGTTCCAGAAATTATGCAATAAAGGTGTTCCGCTGAATGGCCGTATTGATGATTGTAATCATGTGAAGATAGGAAAAAATAGGTGAGGTGAGTGTTATTACTGTATAAATATGAGTCAGTGCACATGTCCGGCTTCGCCCTGAGAAACTTTTGATGTAAACAAAAGTATCTACAACCGTATACGGGGTGTACCGAATTCAGAAATAACGCCCCTAAGGAGAATTAGATGAAGATAAGGTGTGTAGGTTCAGAATTGTCATAGGCCTGCTAATAATGAAAGCTACTGAAAATATTTTCCCATACTGGAACAAAAATACTGTCCCTCAGTACTGCGCGCATCGCTATCAAGCTGGAATCATCAATAGATGACTAAAAAATCATTTAAATTCATATATCGAATGGAATTTGGCAATAATTGATGAAAACCCACATCAAAACCTAGTAATGAGATATAAGAGGACTGTCTAAAAAAATAAGGTGGAAGTTCAAGTTTCGCGGGCTATGGATATTTGATTTGCGATTTTTTTCAAGTTGGTACACTCGTCTCGAACATATGTTAACAATTTCAGCTGTTGGCATGTTTAGTCATCGCCGCTTGCGACAAGCAATACGAATAAAACATACGATATTGTAGGAAAACAATTCATGGGGCACCGCAATCATGTCTCAGCCACCGTATTCACCAGATTTGGCACCCTGCGACTTTTTTCTATTTCCATGATTGGAAACACCCATGAAAGGACGGCATTTTGCGACAATTGAAGAGATGAAAACCGAATCATTATATATTATAACTGAGGGGAACAACTTTGGAAGGTACAAAATATAAATTGATGAATAAATAAATATTTTTTGTGAAAAGTTTTGATTTTTAGTGTGAGGTTTACAAAATCTCGACACATTTTTGCTATACCGCACCTTTCTCAAACAATATTTAATCAGCTACATTATCCAAATTCCAAATTATCCAAACGTTACTATGATCTACAATTATGCCTAATCTAGTGTTACTACCTAAAAGGAGCTTAAACAAGTATTTCATTACCTAGTAAAAGCAGGTAAATACAGGTGAAAATACTGGTAAGTACATATTGAGTAACGGGGAGTTATTCATCTCAACTTTATCATTTATGAGATATCAAGAATTCTTCTACCTATTGATTTGCATTCTATCCAGAAGGTCAAGTTTCCAACCTTCCTTCTGGAAATGAAGAGTCGAATTCATAGTTGAACTCATCTTCCTCTGTAAGGAGGTGACTAGCTCACGTTGAATTTATTTTTTTATTCTAGAAACTGTTTCTATATTCTTGTACGCGTGCTTTAAATCTTCTTCCAGCTTGACCTATGTAAAATATCGAACATGAACCGCAAGACAATTTGAAAACTCCGGATCTATCTGACACAAACTCTTGTCTCCGTTATTTTCAATATGCATGCTCACATTATCATTGTATTGAACGTTATATTTACACCTTTATCTTTTATTTTCAATTTTTCGTAAACCGTCTCATACGGATATAATCATACATAGTTTTGAAGATTTCTAATTTCCAAAAAATATTAAGGTGAAAATATAGCATTTAAATCCAAACAAGGGTTTGGTATCGGATTATTTTTGTGCCGATAAAAACTACTCGTGACAATTCCCAAAGCACCCTGTACAACACATTCTGATCTATTGTCGAGTAATGGCAACTTCTCGAAGTAGTACTGGTATATCCCAGCCGTGAATAATTGCGCTCAGTATGTCAGCATTCCAATCGTGATTACAAATTTCTATACTTTCTTCCCGCCATAATAGTCCAACCTGGATATTCATTGTTTTAATTGAGCAAAATTATTTTTACGTCACCTCGTTGCCCGTTCCGAAAACGAATTCATTTCATACTTCCGTTTCATCATCCTTTCCACTGTTTAATTCGGTTTAATTGAAAAGCGGCAAACGAAGTTAAACAATCGTTTAACGGTTACGTAGACCAAGATCTAGTTCCTGCTAAAAAAGTATTTTTACGGAGTGTCATATTCTCATTAAAAACACACCTTTCGCTGCAAATCATCGATAGGAAAGTCTAAGCATTCCGTATTCGTATTTGAAAGTAGTTGTTTCAGATAGAGTTTTTCCTCCAATTTGTACCTATTCTAGAGACTTACCTACATAACTGAAGCGGTTTTGGATTGAAATTTTCAATACTTCCTATCAAAAGCACTATTTATTGTATCTATTAGCATTTTGTAGCGGAGTGGGGTAAACAATCTTCAAAAATAGTATATGAATTGTATCTATGTATCTATATAGTATGTTATTATCAATATTGCAAGCAATGTTATGAAGATTATCTACCTGCTTCGTTTTATAAGCATTTCTACTACATATGTGTTATATCTCACTTTTTTACTATCTACTATACCACTATCCATAACATCTATACTATATTTACTATCTGCTATATTCCCTTGAGATACAGAATGTACAATAATATAAGGTAATGTGAATACAAAAGTAACATACTTGTAACTAACTTTGTGTCGTCGTTTTAAGAACTGCGTATCGCCGGATGTCTATTCAGCAAGTCAGCATTGACATTGATGCATGATACCTTGGGTACGAATAGAGAAGGGCAATAATCAACATATATGTATCCAATTATCTATCAATTGTCGATTGTAAGATTACACATTTTCAAGTAACTAATTATCTTTAATGCGAATGTACGGTTTCTCAATTGCAATTATATGTCATTCATTATCTTTCAATTATTTTCCACCTGCACAAAAGACAGAATCGGGGTTCCCGTTCCCTTCTTTGTCAAAACTTGCCGAATTTATTCACGCCAAAATTATTTTCCCGCTTGTACTTCCTGATAAAAGTTGGTAGTGTGCAGTTACATACCATATCTCTCCACTGCTCTTTCTCACTCACCTTTGTTTACTTTCCGCTGGGTTGAGACGTGCAACAATTTTTTTCTTGGGTGTTTGATGAAATGAACTTATTGTTTCACATTGACTAATCCTGGTGGAATATTACCTGCAACGGTTTCATATGCATATTACGAAAACAGCTGTATTTCATACTTCCGTTTGGCGGTTTCACACTTCTTTTCAATTATAAACTTTAATAACGTTGATATGTATGCATATACTTCAACGTCAGTTCTGCGGCTATTTCTACGTGACTATTTTACGAAATAAGTGTGTATTGTCGATGACCTTCCGCTTGTTGGTGTTGCGTGTGATATTTGTTTTTATTCAGGCCGTCTTCAAGGTATGTCAAGAAAAACTACGTGTATCAATTGGTTCTACTTATAATGAACTTGAAATAGTTATTAAACAGTGTTTTTCAAAAATTGCTCGTGTGAGAATTATGGGTTTTCAATTATTTAGGTGATGAAATTCCAAGAATTGACATTAAAGGAATATGACTTTCAAACTGAATTTTTATCATATATCGGAGATGATAAAAACCAAACTTTCCAAAAGATATTCTTTGTCATTCACACTCCTTTGTCCTATTTTTCAAATCGCTACAGAAATTTTATATATTCTTCAGTGTCTTAAGTTCTATCTTCAGCAGCTCCTTCTCTTTTTTCGATTGCTTCATCCTGTTCTCTGAATTGTTTTTAGATTCGATCTGCCAAATAGAAATCCTGCTTTTATAAACCAAACACGATTTTGACAGTTATTACGACACATCACATAAAGAAAATAAAGTACGAAACATGAGTCTGTTGTAATCCTTGGCACACTTATCACTTCAGTAACATTCAGTTTTCCTGTTCTCAGATATTTTTTTTTCTTTTTCCATCAGTAGTTTGTTCTTCAATCCTCAATAGTATAATACATAGAGTATAAGAAAGACATGACTGTCATATATTCATTGTTCAGTCAGCTTAAGAAAAATCTTTCGGATCCCAACATTACCCAAGCTAACCCTAGACAGCTTGGTAAAATTTGAAAATATTTCTCACCACATATTTTCTTATACTCAAGAATTTCAATAAGTCTTAAAATGGTGTCAATCCTACCTGTCCTGACGTAGACAATTTGTATAGTTATTCAAGTACAAAGAATGTGAAAGCAGGAGTGCCACAAGGATCGATCTTGGGACCCATACTTTTTCTACTATTTGTAAATGACCTGGCTGCTATACGTTTTTCTGAAGGTTCCACCATTTTTTCACACTTTTGTGGCATAACAAAAATCTCACTATCGTGAGATGCAGGTTTGCATTTTGTGCTGCAACAAATGTTTATCATCCCTTCTTTCAGGAAGCTGGAGAGTCAAATCAAGAACTCAATTATATATAAGCCGTAAAAATGTACACTCTCTCTCCATCAAGGGTGTATTATTATTTTTTTATCAAACTTGTATTATACAGCAACCTTTTATTTCATTTCCAGCCTAAACCAGAGACCAAATGTAACCCGTTCCGACCTTAGATCAGACTCAAGAGCGAAGATGGAACGGATCTTCAAAATACGGACGAAGTCAGATCGGAATCCCCGCGGTCAGTATCCTTCAGAACGAAGATACTCAGCCTCCATTGTGGTAGGACTCAGCGTCGTGTTTCTACAACTCTTTTTGTACTCCATTCTAATGGGGACCTTGATAGTGCACAAAATGACAGTCAATCAGAATGCGAACACCACCAGAGATAATGGTGAGTAGTCCGTTAAAATTTTAAGAAGGCTTTGTGTTTTGGTTCAACGTATACCGGGACACTTGAAACTCTTTTTTGAACAATATATCGTCTACTGCTCAATGTGTATGTGAACAGTAACATCTGCATTACTTTTTTCTGTTGGATTTAGATATCGGTATTCTGAACGAGACGGAGATCCAGGAACTGGAAAGACTAGAAGAAAAACTAGAGAGGGATTTGGATCATAAAGTTCAAGTATCAATCAACGTACCTGCTTTGGTGTGTTCAGGATGCTTCATCATGGCAACAGGGTGAGTGAAAATTCTAGAAAACTCTTGTCCCATCTGAGAATCCTGCTCAAAATCTTCGGGTGCTTTAGAATTCCGTAGAAGTCTACGAAGTAATTATAATAATATTTTCTAATTAACACCATCAAACAAGGCAACGTATATTACTTCTTTCAGAGAGTTCAAATCATATTATAAAAGTCCAAACTAGTAAAATCCACCATGACATTGCCACCACTTTCGAACAAAGTTTTTCTTGCCCAACTACGAGTGCACATCTACGGAATATCGTTTCAACCAAGTAATTTTAGGAACTTTATATGTAATACAGTTACTCAGAATCTGAAATCAACCTCTTCCATCCCACAGGTACTTCCTCAGCTTCAGCACCGGCCTCCTAGCCTGGAAACGATGGTACGTGGACCACAACATCACCTTCTTCTTCCTGGCAGCTACGTTCTCCACCCTCACCTCCGCTCTGAGCCTCCTCCTCTCTCTACTGACCTGCCTCAACATGGACTTCGACTACGACACATACAACTACGCCCCCAGCGAGGCTTCCCCGATCACCTTCAGCCTAGCCTTGAACATCATCATCCTCAGCTCCGTGGGGGTGATTTGGTCGTTCCTCTCCTCCAAGGTGGGGTACAAAGGAATGAGGACGAGCTACCCCGACGACATGGGAGTGGGCAAAGGGGGACAGCAAGTGGAGGTCAGCGTCGAGAGAAAAGGGAATGGTAACGCCTTCCCACCTGATATCATCAGCCACTTTCCAGTAGATGACAAGCTGGCTAAGTACCTTCCCAGGAAGGAGAACCGTGATTTACCGAAGGCGGAGAGTACTCTGGAATACCAGCAGAGGGTGGATAAGTTTTTGTCGGGGGATGGGGACAATGGGGAGAGTAAATAGTTGTGACACGTTCTTATATGTAGATTTGAGGCAATGATGACACTACCAAATGTTTGGTACAAAATATGTTTATTGTGACTGTGTTCCAAGTTCTCGCTGAGGGAATACTGTTCAATTTTTTTCCATCGGGAAGTATAACGGTCGAACAATATAGAAGCCAAATAACAATACAGTTACTTATGATGTCACTGAAAAACTTTTTGTTAACTGCGTAGAAACATCCTTCAAGATCTGAAAAATATCAACTAGCTTAACTTTCAGATTGAGATGAGTTTTAGAAAATGGAATCTGAAAGAACGTATATAAACATATATAATTTATTATATTATCTTACACCAGCTGACTGATGAAATACGTATTAATATCGGTATTAATAATGAAGTTACTGGTAGATTGACGTTGAACAAATATGAAAAAGGAGCTGATAAAAATGTGGCCAGAAATGTGAGAAGAAGAACTTTATTTCCTGATAAGCAAGCCTAATATAAACATAATTAATGTACTTCATCTGAATATAATACATACATGTGTTTATATCATCTGTTACTAAACTTAACTTCCATGCAAAAAATAAGAGAGAGTATGTGAATTTTCAGGCCCTGCAGTATTAAAAAGAGTGTTAGAAAATTTTGAATATGAATGAGTGAAAATAAAAATACCAGGACCAAGAAAAAAAAGAAAACAAAGAAAATAAAACAGCATAAAGGCACAAGTGGAAAATAGGCTCAATTCCAAAAAAAAACTGACCTGAGATGAAGATAAGTCATAGAAATTATTAATAGGTTGAATATAAACAATAATTGAAATGTCAATATAATATATATAAAAATTCCATTTTAGTCACTCTCATTTATTCTTATTTCATATTATTTTTTTGTTAACATTTTACTTGTTGTTTATACCACTCTTCAAATACCTATTATCAATTTATTTTAGTTTCATGTCACAATAATTTGTTTTCCTCGCAAATAAGTTCATTATTTACTTACAGCGTTCATGCACATTGTTTCCCATAACTTTGATATCATTTATTTTGCAACTAACTTCCTCATATTCCGGCCCTAGTATTCATGTTTTCAAATTGGTTAACCTTTTTTTGAGCAACCATAAAGTTTGTTAAACAAATTTACGAACATTTGAATATGATTTTTTTTTTTTCTTGATTGGCGTTTTTCCACATGAACCACCAAACAACAATGCATATTATATGAGAATATATTGGCATCTCTGTACTTATCATACTGTATATTATTAATATTATTTAATAAGATTCTAGAGGCTGATATTCATAGTTTGCTTAGGGTAGAGAATGTATTTTGTAAGTAGTGGCAAAACAGAAAAATCTATAATAGTAGATCTGAAGTGCATTAGTGATTCTGTTTTATATTAAATAACTAGTGTTTTATATAGTTCATACATGTGATAAAATCTATACTTCGAATATCAAATATCTGATTGTATAATTAGAAATAAGTTACTGTATATCTTCCAATAAACAATTATTTTGCATTTTTAAATCGAAAACTATGTTTACTCCCATCTGTATTTTGAGGATACAAAATTTTAGTACCCATGTTAACAAAACGTAGGTACTACATATATTATTAGTTTATTCATCATACATAACAGTCTAATTGAAATAATGTGAGAGTAACTTTTTTCACTCGATAAAATAATAGGATATCCAATAAAGCTCTGAGAAGATTATAAAAAATTGTAAAAATAATCACCACACATTCATGAAGTACAGTAAGATGTATCTATTAACCAATTTCTGTGATAAAATGCATAGTTTCAAAGATGACTCAAGATTTTCCTAATGGTGTGATATGTTGCTAATATTGACTCACATTTTTTTTTCTTCGAAATTTCCAGTACTTGTATTTATAGTTTTTTTCCTTGAGAATATTAAAAAGTATAATCAATATACGACGTTTTACCTCTTTACCTAACAAATGAGAAAGGTTAATCACCTTTTCATTGGTGGGTTCTGTCAATCATATTTTTGAAAAGTTTTTTTTCGAAAATTTCAAGTACGCTAACCTTGATTTATTAATGGACCTTCACACTTCTTCTTCCTTTATTTTTTTTCTGACTGATCGTGCAACATTGCTAACTTGTTTTTGCGGTCAATTTTATGTTCCGAAATTAGGGAGCATTTCATATATAATATTTGGAACATAGTTTTATATACCAATTTTGAAGAATTTTCTTACTTTTGTTACCCACTGGGAAGTTCATCGTCCACATATCACATTTACCGTACAATTTGGCATTAGGCGACAGATGGTAAAACAAAAACAAAGTCCTTTCAGCTGTTTTCATATATTAATACGGTTTCTTTCACTTTCCGTGAGTGAAAGTAATCGATGTAAACTATTCATCAGTTTCTAATGTCTATAAAAAAGCACTAAAAACATTACTTTCACAAATTCAAAATGAAATACCTACCTCAAAACACGAAAAACCTCAAAACAATAAACATAACCAACATCACGAAAACAAAGTTTGCAGATATCTTTACATTAATGGAATCTTAAGTCCAACAACTGCTCTCGATTTGAATATCTGGATACGGGTTCATGGAAATATTACACTAATATTTTACACGTCCAGTTCTCTCGCTGTTTGTAGAAATTCTCTCATCTAGATGGCGCTCTGTACTTTAAAGCGTTGCTTGCTTCAGCACCTGTTGATATATTAATCTCAAAAAGCAGATTTCATTGTCCATTAGTTCTCGAGCTTCTTAGTCTTACCATCGGATTTCTCAAACTCAATTTCTGATCAGCAGTGAAGTAATACCCCATCAGTCTTGAGTAAACTGTTAGAATTGGGTTCAATAAGTGACCGAGTGAATTCCAAAAGTGACGATACAGAAAATAGCAGTGAGTAACGGATTCTCGGGGGTACTGTAGATGATATTATAAGGAAGAAAAAGTTGCAGTTGAGAATAAACATAATAATAATATAAATAACGATGGTGGACCAACACCTAATGAGTAGTTAGTTTACTATAAAGCTTGTTGAAATAAAATTTTTAGTTATCAGATTTACCTGACAATGGATGGGACACGGGAAATTCATGGTGCTTTATGGTATGACCAGAACAATGCAATTAAAAACAAAATATAAATAAGAACATTAAGTACTCGCAACCAAATTACTACCATGATTTGTAGCAATAATTTTTCGAGAAGAGAACTACAAGATAGGCAAAATCAAAATGCTAACTGGATATAGTCAAGTATACTGTCACTTGTAGTGTAGAGTTGTCGTAGATCGAGAGTTTTCGACCAATAATCAATGCATTATTGAATCCGTCATGTTTTTGAGGTAGGTAATCAAAAGATGGAAATAGTAAATGAGGTACGCGATTCATTAGGAATGAAGATGTATTACATTGCAATTTCTTCCGTTCATCATTTCCCAGATAGTCAATAAAACATATCAATTGTTATTCACGTGAACGAGATATTCAGCTTCATTCCCTACAGATGGCGCTCTATACTCAAATACAGCACTTCCTTCACCATCTTCTCATATATAAGCCTCCGAACGCTGAGTTCCTTGTCCATTAGTAATTGGACCTTCTGGTCATAGCACCGTGTACTTTCAACAAAGGTTTCCGGTTCAACAGTCCAAATCCTATCCTCATTAGTCGTAGGGGGCTGCTGAGGAACTGAACACTAAATCAGAGAAAAATCTAGTCCGGAGATACGTCAATCTCTATAAAGCTCACTAAATGGGGTGGCATATGTGCGTCAGGTATGTCATTCCGGGGCTGAGGTTCCTGAGCCTGAGGGTGCATGGTGGTATGACCAGAATAATTAAATGAAAGCATAATAAGAGTTTTGCACCTTTCAGTATAATAATCACAGGGATGAGCCGCTTGAGTTACAAAGTGAGCTGTTTCAATAACTATACTTCTCTCCAGATTGAATTAAGATTGATTATGACGATTAAAAACACAAAACCCAATTTCATAAAGTTTACTATCAAAAAATGGACGAGAAATTTTCGAGGTGGCAAAATATGACAGATGCATCAGGTTTTTGAATCAACGCATCGTTAAAGAAATTTCGCGAAGTAATCTAAAAACAATCCTCTTTTCTCATAAACTCATTGTGCCCCAGTATAAGAGGTCCAAAGATTATACTAACAGTATGGCATATTTTTTGATTTGTCCCGTGCTTTTGACGCGATAAATCTAGACATTTTAGAAACTAAACTCAATGTCCTGGGTATTAGAGATCGGGCAAACAAGTGGATAATGTCATTTGTAAGGCATCGGCAAATTTTTGTCAAAATTGAAAGGGAACTTTCCGAAGGTGAAGTTATTGATATTGGAACCCCCCAGGGTAGTATCCTTGGACCACTTCTTTTTCTCTTATATGTGAACGACTTACCAAACTTCATAGAAGGAGGCAGGTTGTTCATGTATGCTGATGACACCTCGATGGTGATTACTGGCCACACACTGGAGGAAATTTCTATCAAAACCGACAATGTTGTCAAACAATTTCTTTGGTGGTGCGACAATAACCGTCTAATTCTCAATTCGGAAAAAACTAAAATTATGCAATTTTCCACAAATCCTAGGTCACTGTCCAATAATATATCAATCAAAATAGATAATTTTATGGTCACTACCAGCCCGACCAATACCTTTCTCGGTACAATTATTGATGAAAAATTTATGTGGTCTGATCAAATCAACAGCGTATGTCAGAGATTGAACAAATCGTTTTTTGCCCTATATTCACTGAAATCAACCTTGAACAGATCATCCCTGCTAAACGTTTATTACGCCTTAGCCTACTCAGCTATTAGCTATAATATCACCACATGGGGACAAGCTACAGAACGGAACCGGGTATTCATGATCCAGAAACGCATTATCCGATTAATATATAGCCTGGAATACCGTGAATCGTGTAGACCAACTTTTAAATCTCAAAAAATTCTTACCGTAACAGGTATATATTTATTCAAATTATTGATAGACACACATAGGAATATCATCAACCTACAAAAAAATTCAGATCTTCATCAATACTCTACGAGAAAACAGGAGAATATACATCTCAGAAGCTTCAAGCACCTCTCGTATAAAAAATCACCAGAGTGGGCAGGAAGTTACTTTTATAACCTGCTGCCGAAGGAAATAAAAAATACCACCGTTAACAGATTCAAAAAGCTTGTAAAAACTCTACTGGCTGACAATCCGCTTTATAATATTCAAGAATTCGTAGATCTTCTAAATGTTAATAAATAGTAATTTTGCATTCAAATCTGGGTGAGAATACTTGTTTATTGTACTGTTTCTTTAACATTTTTATATCATTAATTCTACCTTTTTTATATATATTTTTTTCAATATAATGTTAGATTTTAATGATTGTATCCGGATGTATCCGATGATTGTAACTAACGAACCTACACTTATGTGGCTAATGAGGTAATAAAGTTATCTATCTATCTATCTATCTATCACGAGCAGATTACCTGACAAAGACGATCATCATATTATCCAAGATTATTTTGAGAACAACATCGACAAACTTGTAACACATTCTTCAGTGACTTCAGTCAAAACCTCTGGACTTCGTGGCCGATAGGTAATACATGGTTGATGAACAGTGTTATCCAATGATCATCAAACACAACATGGCTGCTGTAGTATTTGTCACATGAGTGACATCAGTACTAATGCTTCTGGTATGAAGTGCGCTTTAATTGAAGCATTTGCAGAAATCATCAAGGATTTGTGGCTTGTTGATGAATAGGAATTCCTATGATATCCAAGACGTAAATCAAACCACCAATAAACCCACCTATGTGGGTTTCTTGGTGATTCTATTTACGTCTTGGACTCTTCTTATTTGGTAGAATTTTTGTCTTATGAAGTATTGTTGATGTTGAAGCTTCGGTTTAAGCCTGAATAACCTCTGGTTCTATCAAGAACTTGCGTGCAGTAAGTGGTTTGTGGTGCGTTCGAAGGCAATGTCATGGATATCAACTTCGGTTTCATTTGTTTGGCGATAGCGACAACTTCTTTCGTTTCATGTGCAGTCAAGCGCGTTTTAAAGTTTCTTCTCGTAGTTCCGATGTAGAACAAACCACTACTAGGGCACTTAATGAGTACTTGGTGTCTTTTTTGATCTGAGACTATTCTCTATCGTTCTTGTGAGCTTGTAGTAGCAACAATGAAAATAGACAAGAATTCTGTTCAAGATATATGAACAAATCCAAGATTGTAGACAATTTTGTGGATACTCTGGTCACTCGTCGGTAACCTATGATCCTTTTTGGGACTTGTCTCTGCCCATTCCAAACTAACTAACTAGCTTTTCAAAATGCAAACATTCTACTTTCCTTTTGAAGGTTTAGATACCTGAGTAAGTATGCAGCACACAAGTAATCATTTGTCATTATAATATGTATGCAGTTTTGTGCAGGAACACCACGCATGGCATAAATACAACGCATTTTCCATCTTGAGCCACCAAACTGAAGAAGCATTTGTTGGTGAGATTAGTCATCCTTGAGATAAGGCAATACAAAATATCTAATTTAGGCCCCCACGTCGTTTTTCTTTTCATCCTTTTTGTCTGGAATCTACTTTCACTCCCAGATAATTAACCACCTCACATTTTGTTTCCATTAATCCTTATGAAGAGCAAGAAGACATTAGGTTTTGGGAAATTATTTTGGCCTTCTACTTCTCCATCTTCAAACAAAAAATGAGGGATCTCCCGGAGAAAAGAATCAACTTCAAAATAATCTCTTTGCAGTGCTTTTCCGTTAATCCACTGTCGCTCTCTTACGACCGACCACCTTCAGAAGTCAAATCTTATGCTGGCTAAGTATTGACGTGGTCTTACGTCAAAAATCTTCAACTACAAACATAATATTGCCTTCAGCAATCAACATTACATTTTAATTTACTGCCACCGGTCGCACCGCCGACCACCTTCAGATACAGCCTGCCACCCCTGGAGTGGCGCACCTAGTGAGCCATACGTCACCCCCGTCGCAGACATTTTACAAATATGCCCTGTCTGCAAAGGGCTCATCGTCATCATGTAAATACATACGATTTCGTCAAAGGAAGTCTTCTTAGGATATAGATTCAGGCAACGCTCGCATCACCTGAATTGGACTCTCCCACTAGTACCCCCTGGGGGGGGGGGGATTTGGACTGGTAGGCCGCGTCCTTCATGTGAAGGTGCTCGGAGATATGACCAGCAGGGCCCAATATCTAATGGACGAGGGATAGAAAGTGTCGGCTGATAGATGTTGCGGAAAGTTACTGGAGAAGTGAATTTGGTGTATGTGGCGCCATCTGCAGTTTTGATGAATATATGGGAGTGGCTGCAAGAGTTCTATTGGATGTAATCTGACATCGTTCTCAAAATTAATTCAGAAAAATGTTCGAACAGATCCCTTGGGGTATATATGCCTATATATTACAGGAAAAATAAACTAAAGTCGACTCAAGGTACGGAGAATGAAATGGGGTGAATTTTAGAGACGGAAAACAGTTTTTCGACTGAAACCAAGCCTTCTATTGGAAAAAGTTGATGCAATAATGGTAGAAATTATTTTTCCACATAACCTGTCATTTTTCGAGAAAAATTCTAAAAAGCGGTTTTCAACAAAAATGATTCGTTTTGAGTTTCCAATGTTCTGTAATTTTTTATGGAAATATGTAGTATATTTCATTATCAAGGTAATCCTCATTTTTCAGTGCAAAATGTCTATTTTCTGAAATCAGTTTTTTCAAAATTAACGGTCTCGTATTTTTCATTTGATTGATCTTCTTCCATATGGTGTTGAAGAAAAGTATTATTACTATTAAAAAAGTTATTAGAAAGTGTGAATTATCGAAAAACCTCAAATTTTCAAACTTTTTTGTATCTTACATTTTCTAGTAAAATTTTCCATCATAATATGCACCATCTGGATAATAATATTTCAATGAAAAACGCCACTGTTAATTTAAAAAAAATATATTTCTAGGATATTGATAGTTTATAGGGTTTTAGGTTAATCATCAAAATTGAATCGAAAATATAAGAAATTGTATTGTTTTTCAGTTAATGCAACTTCCTGAAACTTTTGTCAGTGTTAGGTAGCAATTTTTGAATTCTATAACTCTCTATTTCATTTAGCAAATATCATATTGTTGAACAGTAACTGAAATGGAGTAATATAATGTTATAAATCATACTTTTTCACCATTTTGTTAAATAATTTGAACATTTGTGAAGGGCCCCACTTTTTGTTGATATTATTTCAATAACACCTAGTTCAAACCTGACTCACACACGATCTCATCATGAAAAAAGATCCTCTACCAAAATGTTTTGCCTGTAAAGTGCCGTTAACTATTACATATATCTTAGTGGAGTCTCTGAGATTAAAGTGTAATGAAATTTTCATCAACATCTGTGAAAGGTTTAAAAAAACGTTCCTTGGATTACATCATGCACATTCTTCGAGACTCAAATACGTCACATAAAATTTAATACCTTATAACTGTTACATTACATTAACGCTAATAGCCAGTCAGCTGATGCAATCATTTAAATAAAAAAAATAACACCAAAATATCTAAATTTGTCTACCACCTCAAGTATCCCATTCCTAATTTGTTGTATGTGATACGGGCCTTTCATTTCCCATCGACATGAATTTATTTTTATACGTATTTTTGGTAAATTTGCACAACACTATCTATGTATATCTCCAGCGACTCATTAATCATCTCGTCAACATATTCATAGTCGGAACCTGAGAAATATACAAGAGTATGTATCCCCCCAGCAACAAGTGAATTAAACATCTTCTAGCATCGATGTATAGTAAAAACAACAGAGGTCCAAGTACCCTTCCTTGTGGTACACCCTCGTCAATACCAACACTCTCTAGTTTTCTATCAATGGAGCTCTATTATTTGTTTCGAATTGTTGTTAAATCATCCAAGTACACACCGTCTTGTTGCTTGGGCAAAAAAGTAAATTGAACATCTTCCAGCATTTACACTGAATCATCTATGTATAGTAAAAGTAACAGAGGTCCAAGTACATTTCCTTGTGGCACACCTTCATCCATACCAACACTCTCTACTCTACAACACTCTCTACAATTGAGCTCCATTGATTTGTTTTGAATTAGTTTTTACACACTGTATTGCTGTTTCACAATTACACTGTACATCGCTTTCAATGATCCTCAAAAACTGATGTTGAAATAATACTTGTGATTCAAACTCGGTTCTTATTTGAATTTTATTACTTATAACTTATATACATACAAAACGTTGAACCAATAATAACTCGACTATTGTGTTACTAATACCTGAAACAAGAAAATCTGTGAGACTTTGTGAAATATTTATTTGAAAGTACTTACACTGAAGAATTTACATTTTCAGCAATTGGTGTCTAACGATGAGGAATGGTGCCCCAAAGGCAGAACCGAAGAAGAATACCATCATTGCTGTCAACTTGTATCGGTTGTTGATAGAAAAAGGCAAATTCTGTGAAAAAAACATACTTGTTTGGTGACGATAATATTATTGGAGTGGCTTCATGTGCCATTCTTAGAATAAGTCAATGAAATCAGATATACTTCAAAACAAAGTACTATGCAACAGAAATAAATTGAAAAATTAATAATTAATTTGCAGGTGAGCGTATCGTCAATACATGTTTTACAAAATTAACTGTCATCAAATATTCGTATATCATACACATCCAAAACAAGCTACCTAGAAAGTTATATTCATCGAATGTTGAAAAAATTCACATTTTCTCATTTCCCTTCAGAATTTGTATTTATTGAATGTACTTCAAGTGAACTGCAGTGAAAAACATTTTGTCACTATGCTTTTTCACCATTGCATAATAAAAAGCAAAGAAAATAATGTACTTCTCAAGAAGATTGCTTAAACTTTGTCCTAATCGCTCATATATAATATCCAACTGTTCAAGACTTGAGACTTTTGACTCAAGATTGATGCATGAATCCACCTTCAGTCAGTTGCTTTCCGAAACGGTGAGCTTGCAGTAAATTCTGATGTATTTACCCAAAACTCAATAGGAACAATATATACTAATGGGCGACTTTTGATGAAAACATTGACCTCTTTAAAGAAAAAATGGGGACACAAACTGGTTGGGCCCATCAGAAAAATTACTGTCCTCTACAAATATCAAAGAAGATACCTGATGAAGTAACAGTTGAAACGTAATAATCGCAAACCTATTAGTATATTTCCAAACCCTGACATTATGTAACAAGCTATAAATCATAAATACGTACAGATCCGGGAATACCACCACCACCGTGGTGATCATGGGAGAATCTAACGGTGTTTCTTAACACATTCCTGACGAGCAGACTGCTTTTTCCAATCATTTTTGTAGAAGAATTTGGATAAACCGAAAAATCTATACAAACTAAAGGGAAATGAGGTAATCACCTTAACACTTTGAGAATTGACATTTGACAGACAGGTGGCGCTGAATGATTGTACACGTCGAAAGGACAGTCAATTTGTCGATATTTTGTCTGACAGTTAGCGATGATGTCATCTGCGGTGCTCTTACATCAAGAAATGCGGTCAAATATTATATAAAAACTTCTTTTTTACCTTCCAGTCAACCAGTTGAAATTCAGAATCATTACATATAGAAAAATGAATCCCATCGAAATAAAATAATATTTGTGAACTAGTACATGAAATTTGGTGATTTTCAAACAGAAAAAGATGAGCAAATACCTATTGCTCCACAAAATTTATAAGAATGGTTGAAAGTGACGGAAAATCTATAAACTTACATTTTCTCTTCAACTAACATAAGGAGGAAAAATCAAATGTTTCAACTCCTCAAAAAAATCTTTCAAATTTTAAAAAGTAATCAGTTACTTCAAACTCCAAATTTCATCGAAATCCAAAACTCAGTGAAGTTCAATGATACAAAATACTCAATTTGAATTCTGGAGAAAATAATAAATTCGATTGAAAAATATTCAGCATTGCATGACAAGAAATTGAATTATCCTTTCAATGTGTATAAACGTGAAGATATCTGAATGATAAACTTCCCTATTCCGGGTTTATTTAGAAAAGCAAGTATTTTCCTGAATGAAAGATATTCTCATCATTACAACCCCTGAAATATTTGAAATAAGTACAAGACACACTGATTTTTTTAGGTTCAGAGTAAAAAAGGCGGGATATTTAAATTTTCAGTCAGACTCAAAAACTATTCCATTCTTACCTTATCTGTGCATCATATAAATGAAAAGCAAATATGGAGCCCAAAACGCCACTCCGAAAAACGACAAGAAAAGTATTGTCATTTTCTTTGGATTTCCGATTGATTTCGGGAACGGCAGATTCTAAAAAACACATTTTTCTCATCAAAGTTTCCGCAAATTAAAATATTATATACCTGTCCCGGAATTCCACCTTCTAAGCCCTTGTGGCATTGGCTGGAATTTCGCGTTATTTGTACTATCCCATTGCGAATTATTCTTCTATTTGATAACAAAGATCGGATCATTTTTCGAATAATGACAGTAATGTTTGTTATCAAACGTCAACACATCCGTCATAAAACAATCCATTCACGGAGCCTCCCGAGACCTTCCAGAATTATCATTTATATGCTTAGGGTCAAAAGTTACTTGATAATGAAGTCAGTGTGTATTCTTTTTTAATGGTGGTGTTGAATAGAAGAAATGTTTTCTAAGCCTAAAATAATCCTTAAACACCTGTTGGTGGTTAAAAATCTTCACACATCTATGAACATTATAAAATCTAAAGTGGATGTGCAATCTAGCCAGTTTATGGTAATAAACTGAAATGTTGGCTTATAAAAAAGTGCGCCAAATTCAAATTTGTTTCAGGAAAACCGCGGACGTATGGTTGAGCTTGTGGAAACTTTGAGAAGGAAAACAGAGACTATTTCAGCAGGAGGTAGTGAGAAAGCACTGAAAAAACACACGTCTAAGGGAAAACTATTCGTTAGAGATAGGATAAATTTGCTTCTCGACAAAAACAGTGCCTTTCTGGAGCTGTCAACTCTTGCTGCTAATGATATGTATGATGGCCAAATACACGGGGCAGGAATCGTAACAGGAATTGGAAAAATACATGGGTACAGTAAACTGAATTTGTTTTATACGTAATATCCGAAAATATATTTAAAAAAAAATGGTACTATGAGATAACCTAATCAATCTTTGGAAGCTAACCATAATTGTCTATAGGATGCCTTATCATTTTCTACACAGTCTAAAAGCAGTGTTGCCTTAGTGCACAAAAAAATGTAGTATAAACGTCCAAAATTTTATAAGCTTTTCAAAATTATAAAATCCAAGTATACCATAGAGTCGAATGTATAGTTTCTTATTTTGCTAGATATGTAATATCGCCTTTAAAATTTTGTGTCCGCCGATATAGGTACAATTCAGTAATTATTGTCAAAATGAAAGTAGAGGGAATGTACTGGAATAGAATAGGGTAAAGTAGGGTGTGGTAGGGTAGAGTAGAGTACAGTAGATAAATAGATAGATATATGTTTGTTGTCGGAAGATAGCATTTTGTTGACATTTTGTTATTAATAATGTATACTATATACAGTAAAAACGTATCTCAATATTGGCAAATACACACAGGAAATGGTGATATATAAATGTCATTATAATGAGAAAAAGGCAACGAGAAATTGATCCATAATCCAGCCGAAAACCAAGTTAACAGTTGAGGATCTCAATGGAAAGTATTTACTCGAATATACAAATGCACATGTATAACATATAAACTTATATACATCCAAATATATACACATAGTACACATATAAACAAACATATAAGAATGCCTTAATAAAATATTCAGAAAATGAAGACAAATACATTGCGTTGACAGAGTAAAAACATCAAAAATTTCAAATAAAAAACGTACAATATGACGTGACATATCAGAATGGCAAATTTTCCCCAAAAAATTCTTCTGGTGTATGTTGTACTTTTTCCACAAGAAATGCCTTCAAATCTTTCTTGAATTTCTGAAATGTATCTTGGCAAAATATTTTGTAGAAGAGAATGCATGGTTGTTGCAAACGACGCTACAGTTAAAGGCGGCACCTACTTCCCCATGACGGTCAAGAAACATCTGAGGGCTCAGGAAATCGCACAGCAAAACAAACTACCCTGTATTTATCTGGTGGACAGCGGGGGAGCCAACTTGCCCCACCAGTCAGAGGTGTTCCCCGACAGAGATCACTTCGGGAGGATATTTTTCAATCAAGCAAATATGTCTTCTGAAGGAATTGCGCAGGTGCGTAGTGAAAACTAGGTGTAATGAAGAGTTTTGATAGAGTTTATTGTAGATAGCGGTTGTTATGGGGTCATGTACAGCAGGGGGAGCTTACGTCCCGGCGATGGCTGATGAGTCTGTGATTGTTAGACAACAAGGGACTATTTTCTTGGCAGGACCACCATTGGTGAAAGCAGCTACTGGAGAAGAGGTATGTAGTTCCATCTATGGTTCTTGCTGCTTTTATATTCAGCAAACATAAAACGGACATGCACAACACTGCTTTTTGGTAATGAGTCTCTCCATTTCACGTTTTTGAGGTTAACGTCACAGTTGGCATCATTGATTCCTATCAAAATCTAACCAATAAATTGTACAGTATGTTTATTGTTTTATAGTAGTTAAAAAGTTTCACAAAAGCATAGAATCTCCGTTCCCAATGAAAAAATCTCAATATTCGATGATATATTGTGGCCATTACTTTCGAAGCCCGACATTATCTTGCATCATCTACAACATTGATGATAAAATTAAACTATCAAAATTATTGGGTAAATGTTAATTTATTTCTTGCATCCATGTTTCATCCATCCGTCAAAAATGTTTGAAGATCTCAACAATGAAGACAACACTGATAGTAATCAGTGTTACCAACAATAACGTTAAAATCCAAAACGTAAAGTGGAGACATTTATCACCAAAAAGTCTGTGTAAATACTGTAAAAAAGGTATTGGCATTGTCCTTGATAAAAAACTCACTTGGAACGCTCAATTAGAAAAAGTTTTACACAAAGCCAGACTGTCCCTAAGGACATGTCGAAGGATTTGTGGTAAAACTTGGAGTTTAGGTCACAAACAAATCCATTGCCTCAAGCGAAGCTCTCTCTGGCTTATAGAGACGGGTTTGCTGGCTAGCAGTGGTGCCATCAGTACCACACCGACAGCAGCCATGGAGATCCTTCTAGATCTACCTCTTCTTCACATTTTTCTGGAGAAAGAACCTAGATGGACTACATATAGACTTGTGCACAGCACCAATGCACAAATCAATCTAATGCAGAGTACAATAGACCGCTTGTTGACAATGGAAGTCACACTATCATGGGAATGACCTTTGACATTATGTTTCCACTTTCGCAACTACGAACTGCCTTATACAGTACTGTTCCCGAGTAGAGAGCACTAGATCCTCCGGGAGGAGGTGCATCATAAACACCTTCAGGTTCTGGTGCAGGTGTTTTCAGTCACAGACCCAGGACAGAGATATCAACCTGTCTAGGAACCTATGCAACTGTATTTCAAGCGGAAATCTATGCTATTGAACTGTGTGCGGAGCAATTTGTAGAATCCAACCTCAACAATTCAGTAAAAATATTTTCGTATAGTCAAGCAACGTTGGAAACTCTTGACTCTTAAGAAGCAACGTTTAAATTGGTAGCAAATTGCCAAAAACGACGCTCCTCGATAGGAAGACTCAACAAAAAGTCTCTGGTCTGGATTCTTGGCCAAGCTGGCCTGGAAGGCAATTAGGCTGCTGACCTCTTTGCAAAGGAGGGTGCTGCAAGCAGCTTTAGGCTTTGCCAAACAAAGATTGAACATCTGGATGGCAAGAAGATTCAAAATCTTCTAGGATTTTGTCAGAAGAATTTTTCAAGTTCCTTCTGAATACAGACTACTAAGCAGAATACGCAAATAATTTTCTTGATATCAAAAGAAGTAATTTAGCATCACACCATTGATTTTTGCTATTCTTACAACCGTTTTTTACTATAAGCTCTAAACATCTTCATCATGATATAGAAAAAGAAAAAGACTGGTCCAAGTTCTGTTCCTTGAGGAACTTAATTCTCGATAATGCTGCTAACAAAGAAATAGGCCTGGCTAACTATTTCTGACCACTAGTAAGTAGCACGAGCAATCATCTGAGATACATTCCTGCTGTCTAATTATGAAAACTACCACAAAAAACTATCATTGCCTCTAGGTCTCTGCTGAGGATCTCGGCGGGGCGGACCTCCACTGCACCACTTCAGGAGTGACAGATCACTATGCCGTAAACGACGAACATGCCCTCCACCTGGCCAGACAAATTGTCAAAAACCTCAACAGGACATCCTCAACATCTTTCGACGAACCTTTCGAACCTCCCCTCTACAACCCTGACGACCTGTACGGGATCGTAGATCACGACCTCCACAAGCCTTTTGACGTAAGAGAAATCATTGCGAGGGTCTTCGATGGGTCTAAGTTTGACGAGTTCAAAAAGAAATATGGCGAGACTCTAGTATGCGGTTTCACGAAGCTGTATGGGAAGACAGTGGGAGTTATAGGCAACAACGGCGTGCTGTTCTCTGAGAGTGCTATGAAGGGGGCGCATTTTGTGCAGCTGTGCACGCAGAGGAAGGTTCCTTTGGTGTTCCTGCAAAACATTACAGGTGTGTACCGTTCCAAACTGGCCAGTATGAGTTTTTCAGTTTATATTCAATATCTGGCGCAGATTATAGTCCGGAACATATTCGGAAGTTTAGTACGAGTCGAGGAGCTGCCATTTACTATTGTGTTTTTCCAGGATTCATGGTGGGAAGACAAGCTGAGACGGGAGGCATAGCAAAACACGGAGCAAAACTCGTAACAGCTGTCGCTTGTTCCAACGTTCCAAAAATAACTGTGATAATAGGAGGTTCTTATGGTGCAGGAAATTATGGTAAAGTATATAGTCATCTATTGGATCCATTTACGGTGTGATTATTCCTTTAGCTAAGGGAAACTCCCCTTCGGATTCCTCTGACCTGAGACCTATCATCATCCTACCTTGTCTTTCAAAAGTTGCTGAGATGATCATGAAGGACCAAACTTGCAGCTTCATGAATGATCACCAAAATATCACACCCATGCAGTCCGGTTTTAGACCTCAACACAGCACAACTACAGCTTTACTTTCCATCACCGACGACGTCTTCAAAGCTGTCGATGAAAGTAAATTAACTTTGGTTTTAGCCCCCATGTTTTTCCTTGGCGAGCATCAGTGCTACCTCCACTTTCTTCTTTATCCTGTCCAAATGTTGGTTCCAGGTCAGTTTGGAATCTAGGATTACTCCCAGATATTTAACCTCCCCCGACACTTGTATTTCTTCACCTTGAAGTTTTAGAGGTCCGAGACCCTCCGTTTTAGTCCACTTGGTGAATGCTACTATGGTCGATTTGGATGGGCTTATGTTAAGCCCTTCTTCTTCGGTCCATCTTGTTATAATGTTCAGGGCCTGCTACATGCATCCCTTCACTACATTATTGTATTTACCCTGGACTAAGATGACCAAGTCGTCTGCATAGCCCAGTGCTTTATACCCATTGTGGTTTAGGGACAAAATAGCTCGTCCATTTCAAGGTTCCATAACAGAGGGGATAGAACACCCCCCTGAGGACAGCCCCTTGCTACCCGTGCTACGACTGTTTCCCCCATATATACCAATCTTCCCCTAAGCATGCAGTCTATCCACCTACAGCTTGTCTTGTCGATCCCTCTTCTCCTCGACGCCTGGATGATTGATTCTAACGACGTATTATCAAATGCGCCCTCAACGTCCAAGAAAGCAGCTAAAAGTACTTCCTTGTTTTTGTAAGTATATTCTACTTTTTCTTTTATCCGACATAGAGCCGTTTCTGTTGACATACCTGACCTGTATGCATATTGGTCTCGATGTAATGGTCTGATAGCCAGTGATACGTCCCTGATATGCCTGTCAAGTAGTTTTTCTAGCGTTTTCAACGCAAATGACATGAGATTAATTGGTCTCAAGGTCTTCGCCGAGTCCTATCCGATTTTCCCAGGTTTCGGAATGAAGGTGGTCCTGATCAGTCTCCAAATTTTTGGTATGTGTCCCAGTGCTAATAGTGAACTTGGTAATAAACACGATTAAAATGTTGGTGAGCTGCTCCACTTGTTGGTGGGGTATTTGATAACTGCACATGTTTATTGAGCTTCGTTAGCTTGACATATTGTGCATAACGAAGATGATTGATAGTATCTACAGACTTTGGAGCATTATAAACAGCTAATAAAGTTTGCAATCCACTATCAAATAATCTTTGAACCGGACAGTTTTCTTCTTCAAATGCTGCGGCAAGTTCAACCAAATTAGATAGTTTCTCGAATGTTCTTAAAAGCGTTTTTTTTCTTTTTTAAAGAGCGCAGAAGTCGTATGACAGCCGCTTAAAGCGTGAAGGAACAAAATGTGTTTTTTAGAACTTGAATATTTGTCGAAACTCTTAGAGGAGTATATTTCCGTTTTCACATTTGCTTTGCCAACTTTTTTAAAGAAAATTTCTTGTTCAAGAGATAGTGTACACCCAATTAAAATCACATTTAGATTCTTCAATAGCTGTCTCAATAATGAGAACATTCGCATCATCTCTGGTCTGTTTAGTGTTGATGTATTTGTTGATGAAAAATGAAAATTATTTATAGTTATTTATTAAGTAATAATTTATAAATCTTAAATGAGCTTATTTCGATCGGGACAACCAGTTGATTTCAAATAATATTTAATCTGCGCTCGCGCTGCCCTCTATCTCAAAAACGATTCAACGTATGAAAAAATGTTTGAAACAAAAGTTGTAGAGAATTTAATTCTCTACAATATTGATAATAAATACAATTAGCATAAAACCCAGTGGAAACGAGATATTGGCAAAAAACGTGGAAAAAATCGGTTTTTTTGACATTTGACCCTCAATTTTTGAAGTTGCGGCCGTCGAATCATATGTGAATTTTGAGAATACTTTTATGATACCAAAATACAAAGTTTCTACAAATTTACAGCTGGGTATGTCGACTTTCCGAAATACAGGCCTAAATCGACCTAAAATGACTGGACAAATAATCCGGCACCCTTCGTCCGCGCCTTCCTCGCCCCTCTCCGCCTATGCGTTTCGTCGCCGCCTAGCCAGGGGTCGAGAACTATCGATAGTCTTGACCATCGATAGTATTCGATAATTCGACTTTTGACTATCGATAGTTTTCGATAGTAAACTTTTTTTTTAAGTTTCATGACGTGAACCTGGTGGTGATCGTGATCTTATCAACTCGTAGTCCTCGTCCTCAGTACATGAAACTGGTGAAATTCTTCCTGTGAAAAATCACCTTGTTAAAAACAAATACTTCTAATATAAAGTGCAAGCTGAAATATATTATAATCATTTTTAATTACCTTTTCCTTGCTCGTACTTGCACCATGTTCTTTTATTAAAAATTTGTCCATTTTTATTAAACGTACAAATTAAAAACCGAAGAAGATTAAAAATAAAACTACAACTAAAACAAAACAAACCATAAAATATAAAATGTAAACATACGATGCCTGGATTGATTGGTGACTTTGTCTTCTTCTTTTTTCTTCTTTTCTTATCCTATAATGACAGATGAAACTGATGAAAGAAGTTTCATCTTTCTTTTCTCACTTTTGTTCTAAATAATGTTATTTTCTACTTTTTTTCACTTCTTTCATTGTGTCATTTATTTCAACGGTCAATATCAAGCAAAAAATGTCAAGATACGTTGACATCACTCACATAACACAACTATCGAATACCATCGATAGTCTAAAAATATAATCGATAGTGTTCGATAGTTGAAACTATCGATATTTATCGATAGTTCTCGACCCCTGCGCCTAGCAGTCTAACCTCTAAATTTATTATGTGCACAGGTTTTTACCTGTTGTTTCGAAGTGAGAATAGTGTGTAGTGAAAAATGTCACTTAAACAGAAATACAAAACATTATTTTATTCTCTATGATTTTTTCTCTACCAGTAATCCGAACATTCCAATAATTCGGCACCCTCTGGTTTTGAATAGCGTTGGATTTGTGAGATTCTACTGTACTTCCAAATTGTCTCTTTGGAGAGTTTTTCATTTATCCACAAATATATAAAGCCTACACAGTATTATGATTCTAAAGTGCAGATTGAACCAGTCGCAGCAATCTCCCTCGAAAGGAAAGACTTCCTTTTATAAGAGATATTAGTAATTTTGTACCTTTCACAGGAATGTGTGGAAGAGCCTACTCCCCTAGATTCCTCTACATGTGGCCCAACGCAAAGATTTCTGTCATGGGAGGTCCCCAAGCTGCTGGAGTCTTATCCCAAGTGGCGAGCCAAGGAAAGTCGTGGAGCGAGCAACAGAAGAAGGAGTTCGAGAAACCCATCATTGAAATGTTCGACAAAGAAGGGTCTCCTTACTTCAGCAGTGCGAGGTAAATGTTATTGAAAGAAATACATAATATAGTCACTGTGGGTCCTATTAGTGGATATTAACTAGTAGTTTCGTGTCTTTCGAAAATACTCTAGCGATATTCGTTTATATTTTGCAGGATCTGGGATGACGGAGTTATTGATCCTAAGGACACAAGAAAAGTGTTGGGATTGAGCCTGGCAGCAGCTTTGAACAGGGAAATAAAGAACACGTCATTTGGAGTATTCCGAATGTGATTTTTGATGAATATTCTAGATGAATTAAATTTCTTTACAGTTTGCATTTCTTGAAACATCCATTTAACAGCCAGAAAGGAATTATAAATAAATGAAATTATAATTGGCAACATTCAGAAAGGAATACTTTTTCTGATGTTTAAATAAACAAACGGATACTGTCAGATAAAAAATATTTGAAGGTCACCTTAACAACTCTTGAACCTTTTCCGCTCATACTTAACTGAACGTATCCTATTCGTAGCTTATAGGGGTCGCAAGTCGTTCCAATTTATCACAAACAGTGGTGCTCCTCAAGGAAGCAATTTAACACCTCTTTCATTCTCACTCTTCATTAACGACATAGAAAATAATCTCTCTAGCAATTTCTTACTCTTTGCAGATGATTTGAAAATGTTTCGCCCCGTTAGATCACAGGAGGACTGCTTAACCCTGCGTAGGTCGCGCTCGATCTCTCAGATGTATGACGCATGTGTTTTCAAATTATATCTGTAATTCGCCGAATTTTGAACTGTGCTTCTTGCTATCTTGCTATATATGTTTCTTCTACGCATTCATGTGGCTAACGTTAGTAGGTCTCTGCAGTGTGACTTGTAAACAGCTGATTCCTAACCTCTTGTTGTATTTACATCTGAGAGATACTGCGCGACCTTTTGTGTGACACTATTTGACGTCTGAAAATATGGATTCTAAGAGATTATTTGATCTTACAAACCCTGATGATGTTGAATATTTGACACAGTTTGCGTTTCAAGATAATGAAGAACTCATAAACAATGAAATTCTGGACGAAAGTGATTGTGATGAAGATGATATAATTGAAACTGAAATTCTTCATTCGGACATTGAAAGTGGTAGTGAAGTTGAGTTCAATGAATACTGCTATGCAGGATACTATTTAGGGAAAGACAATACAAAATGGGGAAAACACGTACCCACGAAAGTCAAAAAAAGAATGCCGCATAACATCCTTACAAAAATACCTGGAGTAATTGGGTCCGCCAAAGGTATAAAAACTGTTCTCGATTCCTGGAAGTGCTTTTTTTCTGACGAAATGATAGATCTCATAGTGAATTCTACTAATCTGAGTATACAGACCATACAACCGAATTATAGTCGTGAAAGAGATATAAAATTGACTGATTCAATTGAAATGAAAGCTTTCTTTGGTCTCTTGTACCTAGCAGGTATTTTGAGAAGTGGCAGACAGTCTTTAGAAGATTTATGGTCAACAGACGGCATGGGTGTTGAGTTGTTCAGAACAACTATGTCTCTTAGAAGGTTCAAACTTTTGTACAGATGTTGTAGATTCGACGATAAACGTACAAGAGTTGAAAGAAAAAAAATTGACAAGTTGGCTCCCATTCGAGATTTGTTCGACCTTTTTGTGAACAACTGCAAAGCATGTTATTCCGTCGGCCAAAATGTTACGATAGATGAAAAACNCGAGAGAATTTATCTGGTTGAAGCTGGAATGATTCTGCAACCGTGTTAGGAATCACACGTTAAAAGGTAAGATCCCGTTAGTCCTTAGCTCGCACAAGTTTCTCAACTTATGAGAGTTTTCGTTCGTATGGGGGCGACAGCTGATTAACGGAAAAACAGATATATAAAGTTGTAACATGCTTGCTAATGATATTAATATGTCTTGTTATTGGGATTTATTCCTGTTAAGACATTAAACAATATTTTTTTATAGTATAAACAGTCAATTCGAATGGCATAAAAACTACATAGTTACTCTAATCACAGCTACAACAAAAGAGGAGGTTAATTAAAACGTTGGTTGAAAGAACAGGACATACTTATGTTTGTGTCTTTGGAAAATCCACATATTTTTTTGTACAAAGATGGAGAAGCAGGAAGCCAAAACATTCCTTTCCAAAAATATACAATAAACAAATCCTTCCACTATTTTTGACAATGGGAGCCTAAAGCTTTCAGAGTTCATGGAAAGGGGCTGTTATACAATTGCAAAAAGCTGTAGTAATTCTTCACAAAAAGTTCACTTCTAAAATTTAATTTGTGAGAATTTTTTTTTATCCATCTTCAAAACCTATGTAATGCAATTATTTCCAAAATTGCGACTGAGCAATTATCTATCATGTTATTTGAAACATGTTTTTTGTAAGTTACAGTTGAATAGAGCGGTTTATATTCAATTCAGAATGAGAATTCAAATGTTCGTACCTCTCCATTTTACGACTCATTTTATTTGTCAGATAATAAATACCTACAGTCAAAGAACTCCAGCAATCTCTGTAATTCAACTAGATGTGGCAATGCTTTATATCGTCGTATATAAAACGATCCCTCAGTATTTTTTTCCTAGATAATCTTTTTCGACGACTTTTATCTGCGATCTTCAAACCGATGAGTATCTTTATCTAAAAACTCAGTTGAATTAAATATCACCACCTGAATTTAAAGATCGTAGATCATGTATATATAAATGGTTATACGAAATAAATAATATATTATTATTATTAATCATATCATATCAGGTACATTTTCTGAGGAATCAATTTAGATATGACAATATCATTAGTATTCTAGGAGAAAAATAAGGCGTCCTTTGAAAAATCTTAACGTATATTACCTCTTTTTATATGTTCCAAGATTCATTAAAAAAAAGTGAACCTCACAGCAATAACCACTATAAATAACATTCAATTCGAAGAAACGACAGTAGTATCCCTCATTTCAATTGTCCTTAAGTGTTTTTTCTTAATTTTCTTCAACTTCCTAGTATTCGTAATCACTTGCACGACTTCTGATTTCTTCCTGTTTTCCTCCTGTCTTTTCAAGTTCGCTCTCCTCCTCTCTTTCTTCTTTTCCTTTTCGTCAGCCTTGGCTGACTTGATGGCGTTCGATAGTTCTTTAACATGTTTCAGTTTCTGCCTCAGCTTTTCTTTTCGTTCGAATGAATCGTGGACACTCCTTGTTTTTATGATTGTTGAGAACTTTTTCTTCTCGCCTTTCCATATTCTGCCTGATTTCGGTTTTCCCTTAGGAATGGACATCTGGGCATTATTTCTGAAAACACACAGTCAGATAATGAGGAATAAAAATTATGACGAAACGTACCCCTCTTTGGTATTATTTTTTACCATTATATTCAATTTTCCCAAAAGCAACAAAAAAGATTTCCAACATAAATAAATATCAATATTTCAACAAATAACCTTGCTTTATTTAGTTTTTAACCTCAATGATTCTTCTTCTTCGTTGGTGGCAGTTTTTGTCTGTAGGAATTACAGCTATCAGCCAATTTTACACAAATTGTGGTTCATGAATTTTCGAAAATCAATTTTTGACTTGTTTCGATGTAAAAAGTAATATTTCCATGACAGATGATCATAAAGAATCTGCGAATAATAAAAGTCTTTCAAAGTACATCATTATAATATGACTCAGGAGTAGGTGACATCTAGGTTTAATAATTTAAACGTCAAACTTCAGGAAACATTGATTATTGCCATAAGTAACCGTAGTGCAATGTCTTGACTTCTCAGAAATTCGTTGTTACATCTATCTATTGATACATTTTTTTATCAGAAATGTAGAAGCTCAATTAGCCAGTTGGAAAATTATATTTTGTGTCACAAACTTTCCCTCTAATTCTCCACCTACAAATATCACATAATTAACACTGAAAACTGCTTTGCTATAGATAATTATTTCAATACGGTATGAAAATAATTGTTACAGTTGATCTTCATGTTTTTCTGGAAGTTGAGCCAAGGAAGGGTTGGGGTCTTATATTCCAATGTGCGATCCGAAGTCTGTAGTTACAATAATAATAATAATATATTTCAGAGTATCAATACATAGAATGATTCAAAATTTCGATATATACTGTTCCACTGAACTTCCTAGACTAACGTTGCTATCAGATTCGATAAAAAATGAAAATTTACTTGGAAGAAGCAATGGTATAACTGAAACTAAACCATTGTTTGGATGTATTTTAGACAATGACCAAACGGCTCTCAATTCAACAATAAACGTAGGTATCTGTAATGTGATTACTAGGTTAGGTTTTCGTAACCTTTTGATTATTGTTTTGATATTGTTGAATACTGTCAACAGTTTCAAAACCACTAGACCTGATAAAATAATCAAATATTTCACAATCTACAGACCATAAAAACCGATGCGTTATTTAGTTGTGCGCTTAGTTGGTGGGCAAATCACAAGAACAAAAAGTAGATTATTGGAAAATATCTGTCACTTTCCCTTTCACTCTTCAGACCGCAGTTTATCCTTGACCGGTGGATTGTTAGCAGCAGCCAAGCCCAAAGGAAAAATGGTAAAGTATTCTCCTTAAAAAAATCAATTAGGAAGTTAACTTTCTTTCTAAGTAGAGTGCTATGAGCACATTACAAAACGAGTTATAGTTTTTCCAAAGCGAACTAGATATGTTTTTATAGCACGCAAAACTAACCCCAGAAGAAAGAGATACTACCTTGAAGTCCTTAATTAGCCAGGGATGGAATTTGGTGGATACTCGTGATGCTATCTACAAGGAATTTTTATTCAAGGATTTCAACCAGGTAAGATAACATTCAGTGTATTTTTTATTAACTTTTCTTTTAAACGCTATTGAGTGCTTACAAGAAATATTATACAGTGAGTATCAAAAAAAACCTTTTTCTATTTAAAGATTCATAACTTTTTATGAATGAGTTAAATGTCAGTGGTGTGCTACTTTTTTTCAATAAGGGAATTAAAAATGTTTAATGTTGATTTCAAAAATGCTTTGTGGATTTTACTAGCTTTTGAGTGATATTTCTTTTTTGGCTAACCTGTTTGAGTAAAATTTCTTTTATGCTTGTTTGTATAAGGTGCTGGTAAAGTCATAAGTCTCAGTAAGCGTTTTGAATAATTTTCTAAAACTCATTGTTCATAGTCTTTATAATCTTTTTTTTGGCAACAAAAACACTACTTGTATGTGAGGATCAACCCCAAAAACACACTCTGTGTCTTAACCTCGATTTCTCTTGAGCGAAGTGAATATTTTGAAGTTGATGTTCATCCAAAATATTCCAGAAATTTTCGAATAGGAAATTCTGTGAGCTGATAATCTGAAAAAATTTCTCACAGTGATTTTTCAAATTCAAAAGTGCTATAAAACTGGATACATAGAAATTTTATGGTTGATCTTTGTTCTAGTTAATTAATATTCACTTCTGGAGTAAGTTTTTGAAATGTTTGACGATAATGGAACCTTAGGAAATTACTTTTATTGGTTTTGAGATTTAGCTGAAACCCAGGCTTTCATACTCTCCAGAGCATCATTACATCTGTAACATATATACAAAACTCAATTCTCGACTTGTAAAAATAAGGATTTGCATTCATTTCCTGAGGAATTTTGCTTAATTTCTCAGCAACAGCATCGCCTAAAGCAGGTATTATACTCTGGTATTATATCAGGGTTTGAAAGATAATTTTGTATTGGATTTCAGTTCAACCTACAGTTTCAAGCAATAGACTCTACCTCAGGGAACAGTACTCCTTTCAAAAAAACTTATTTTTAATATATCAGTCTTTGGCAGAATCCATAATGAGATATTGTATAATAGCACCAGGTGCAACTTTCAACAACCACATTAAGGAATCCCTATTTTCTGGCTCTTCTCTAGTATTCCTACTGGAGGAAATATACAATGTTGTTGAAATTCCTTCTATATCTTCATAAGTATATCCTTCGTTCACCCAGATATCTGCTTTCAATTTCATAATTTTCAACGAAGAGCGATTTTTTGTTGTTTTTCCCAGCTGAAATTTAATTCCTTCAATTTTTGTCTATCATTGGAAACATACTTTGGTCTTCGTTTGAGGCTCCCATTATGGAACCCTCGGCATTATTTGTCAAGGGTCTGTCTTTCTTTCTTAAAATGAAAGTTTAAAATGAATACTACATTTCTTACTTTTTGAAGGACTCAATAATGTACGCCTATGGAAGAGACACCTGAAAAATATTCATCACTCCGCTGCGTAAGGAAATATACTATAGTTTCGTTACTTTTTAATTAGCTCCTTACTTTATATATGATGATGACTTTCTTTGACACTCCTTGTACATATCACTGACACATATTACACAATGCTTATTAGAAGTTGCAGGACCAATACTTATAGCTCTTCATTAAAATAACCTCAATGGTGTAATTCTAGGCCTTTGGTTTCATGTCAAGAGTAGCCTTACTTGCTGAAAAAATGGACCACCATCCGGAATGGTTCAATGTCTACAACAAAGTGCAGATAACGCTATCTTCCCATGACGTTAATGGGTTGAGCGGAAGAGATTTGAAATTAGCAAACTTCATGGAGGAAGTTTCGAAGACGTTGAAGCTCTGAACGTAAAAATATCATTGTACGCTAAAAATTTGTCTGTAATCTCAGAGGGAATATGAATGAAGTGTATTTATGAATCTGTTTTGTATTTTTTTCAAGATCTATATTCTTTACTTTTTCTGTTGAATAAAAATTGTTCTGTAATAATACCTTTTTTTTACAAAACGAGGACGACCAACATAAGAACTTATGTTGGAAGTGTTAGGTAATAACGTAAGTATGCAAGACATTTTGCCGCATGCTCTTTCCAGAGAAGTAGGGGTAAGAAATAACGAAGTAGTGGTGATGACGAATCCCCCATATGTAGACGCCATCTATGAGGCAACACAAAACTTGAACCACGAATATGAAATAGGATCCAAAAAGATATCATCTTGAGTAAAATTAAAACTCTTTCCAGATTTTTATTCATCAACATCGATTTCAAAAATAAATTATTATTGGTAGACTATTTACTAAATTTTGCAAGGAACTAACGGACCTCTGTACAGTGGAACTAACGAAGGAGAGTTCTCAAATTCAACTGAAAATATCTGATCAATAGATGAATCTAATAGTAGAATCATCGGTGAATTCAAGAACTCATCTCTAACAACACTGGCATTCTTGTAAAAATTCACTTCATTCCAGTTAATACCACTCTTCAATCGGTTGTAGATGATACGACTTCTTTTGCAGGAAGGCTGTTGAAAATCACTTTCTTGTACTTGGAGAATAATAGGTCTCTCAATTCAATACTGTGGTATTTATCTCTGGTTTCACAAACCACTTTCACCTGTAATAAAATAAAGATAATTAGATCTCCATAAAAATTTTGGGCCAAGTCGATTTGAGAAACCTACTGAAAGAATTTCATTTTGAAAAATCATGTAATAAAAATTTGTTGCAACGTGAACATTCAAATATTTGGGGCTATATCTACTTTAGGTTTGTTCTGGTTCTCAGTTTGTACTGTTTCGAATCGTCCAAAATCAGTAAGTCAGTTGTGGATTGAAAAGGTTAACGCGACAACATGTTCAGTATTCAGTTGGGTGACTGTTTTCTGACTGTTAGGAACAGTCCGGGCAGAGAACCAGAACAAGCCTTTTATTTATTATATATTCATAGTTATATTATTCTGAAGTAGTTGATATAATAATAAACTTGGATGATCCCAAACGTTTTCATGAGAAATTTTTCTACACAACATATTTTGTATAAAAGATGTACCTAGGTACCACAGTATTGGTTTCAATTGTGAATTCATATCGAAACCCTTGAAGTATATTTTATTACCTTGCTTATTTGAATAATAATCTATTTATTGAGCAAATGCACTCCATTCAATGACTTCCAATATAATAATTGTAAGAAAATCTTAATTAAAATTAAGGTACATGTACCGGCAAATTTTACAAAACTCGAAATTTCCATATCTGTTGAAATAACTCAGATATTTTCCAACAAAATGATCACAAAATAACTGCAATACTCAATTTGTGGCATTGTTGGAGTTGAAATAACAAATAGCTATTGAAAATATTGACTTATATATTTTCCGGTCAAACATATTAATTGGGGTGAACTCTTAAAAACTTTTTTGATTTGCCAAATAGCACTACTAACTGAGGTCACAGAGCATAAATAAAAGAAGAGGAATAAAAATTTTTCATCTCATTTTTGGCATCAGCTCTTAGTTCTATGCGGCCATTTTTGTAAAACTTACCTCCACACTGAATACGTCTGACGTTACCCAAGCTCTCTCATGGATCACATCTTTGATAGACACTCCTATGGAGCTGATGAGCTTACACAACTCAGAAATACCGCCGGGTCTGTCGCTAACAGTCACTTTACATTTGACTAATCGGCCGTCTGCTGCTAAACCTCTTTCCAAACATCTGCCTAGGATTGTTGTGTCGATGTTTCCGCCGCTTAAGATCAGAACTACTCTGAAATTTCCTACAGTTACATAGGCCATCTGGTTGTAACCCACCTCGCTCAAGTAATAGTGGTGTCTTGGGGAAATAAATTACCTTTTACCCTTGAATTCGTCTAATTGTCCAGATAATATGGCTGCCAAACCACATGCTCCAGCCCCTTCTACTACACATTTTTCGTTTTCTATGAACCTCAAAATTGCCACAGCTATCCATTCCTCTGTCACAGTTACCTGAAAAATTGTGAGAAAACAATGAAAAATCATACCAAAATACCAAATTAACTCACCATTTTATCTACAAGGTTGCTAGACGTTGCCCATGCATTAAATCCGATCATGGGGACTGCTAGACCGTCTGCCAAAGTACCTTGTATATTTGTAAGAGTGGGTTTTTCGTTTTCGATGGCATTGGCATAACTGGCGCATCTTTCTGATTCAACTCCCTGTGACAAAATATATTTGTAACTTTGATTACATCACCATTACATTAAAAGATCTTCATTACATTTAAAGCGCAGTCATGCTTGACCGAATTTTGCAAAATATTTGCGAATCAAATGACTGCAAGAAATACCGCGAAGAAGTTGAACTTTATTGCGAATGGGTTGAATCATAGAACACAATATGTTCCATGATTCATGCATTATATAATGTATGTTCTCTGTCATTTTCGTTGGTTTCACATATGAAAGACTGAAAAAATGTATTTCGATTTTTGCAATTGCAGATGAACAGATGTGGAAATAAGTTAATTCCATTGTTTATAAAAAATTATTCCTTACTATCACTTTGATTTGAGGATTTAGAGTTTTAATGGCAACAGCTACTCCGGCTAGTAAGCCTCCACCCCCTGTAGGTACAACCACGGCATCAATATCTTGTACTTGTTCCATAATTTCCAATCCTACGGTACCTTGTCCAGCTATTATTTGAGGATTATCGTACCTGGAACAACATTTAAAATATTTTAAGTGAAGGAATTGAATATATGCGATTTGTTTAGGCAAAAAGAAAATATAGATTCTACTATACTCAACGAAATATTATATAATAGTGATTGGGATGATACAGTTATGGGCTTCCAAACAGAACTAAAGGAAAATAAATATATAATGATTCATTGATAAATAAATATAGAAAATTCATGTATTTGGGAATTAAATGATTTTAGTATATGTATTATTCAGCAGAATATATACATTTGCTAACTGTTCAACTGATTCTGGATGCAATTTTTCATTTCTTCACTGTTTTGGAAAACTATATTTTGAGGAACTTAGTTATTACACTGGTTCAGTACATAATATTTTTGAATTGATCGGTATCTATGAATATATGATTTTTGCATTTCTCTAAACGTTAATTACAACGAACAAAGGAAACGTAATATTCTAATGTTTGTCTCTCAGTTTCTTATATAGTATCGACTGAAGTTTTTACTGAAATTTACGTTTAATTTCGAAATCTAGATGTTATCCAATTGAATATTTCAAAACGCCGGGTAAATGATGATTGCACAAAATAAGAGGCGCGTTTTCAAATACAACAGCAGCCATGCGCAAATTTGTCAGTTTGAGTCTAATGGATGAGATTGTCACAATTTTCACATAATTAACAACTGAAAGTATAATAAAAAATCGTTCAAAAATTTGTAAAACATTTTAGCGCCTAATTTGGGTGGCGATAAAGAATTCCTTTTATTCTTAAGATTTTGTGAATATCAGTTGTCAACCAAACCAAATTCATCAGCTACAAACTTCAACTGATTGGCATGAAATGTTCTTTTGTAGAGTCAGTGGTCACATATTTGAGGACGTGAATGATATAAAACACTTGAAAATTTAATTTCGTGGCTGAATAGTCTCATCGGTGAATTTATAAATCTGCCTGTGAAGAGAAGAAGAATTTCAATGAAGTAGTAGAGGGAAATAACCGAACGCTTTCATAAATTGGCTGTTATAGTTAGTAACACAGGGATTTACACATTATACTTGATAATTATTTACCCATTTATATATGTCCAACCTCTTTCTCTCGCTAACTGTACTGCTATCCTCTTAGATTCGTTCATATCTTTTCCTTCTATAATCACGTTGGCGTTGTACTCTCTGCACTTTTGAACTTTCATGATGGGGGCGATAATAGGCATGACTACTGTCACGGGTATTCCTAAGAGAAATCCGTGGTAACTGACCGCTTGCGCGTGGTTTCCTAAAGACGCTGCAACTACTCCTTTTTGCCGTTGTTCGGTGTTTAGCATCAGCATTGCGTAGCGAGCTCCCCGTTCTTTGAAACTATAAACAAACGTATTCAAATGTAACTTCATCGTTAGATTTTCACTTTACAGTTTATAAAACCGGGACGACACGTGCTCCACGAAGCAATTTTTTGTTCAGAAATGTTCAATAGGAATCTGATAATAAATGTTTGATCTAGGAAAAAGACTATTGTCAAAGTAATAGGTTAATACTGACGGATATATTTACCTTCCTGTATGTTGTAAGAAATCTTTTTTCAGATAGACGTCCATTTCCGTGAAAGTTGACACGTGGGATTTCTGTAAACATAGAAATATCAATGTTACATCTATGCTTGGGATTATTTCTTATATTCATCCAAGTTAGAAATCGAATTGATATTTTATAGATAAATCTATTCGATTTTTCAATTTGAACGAAAATTTCCGATAACTGGTTGTGAAATTATACATTATATTCGAGATCGTGCGAATCGACCCGTTAGATTTGTGTGGTTTTTTAAAGTCGCAGGTGTATACAAATAAGCCACGAACCACAGCGATTCTCAAAGCCAACATAACTCATATTATCGATCAAATTCACCCTGATTTATGAGTCAGAGTTATGGAGAAATGGCATCAATTGGTCTTTCAAACTAATAAAAAATGCTGATGATTTCTCATATACACTATGTTTTATTTAAATTCAAAGATAGAAAGCGCCTAACGAAAGACCCTGTATAATACTTACAATACATGGTGTATATACTATCCCACTCCTGATTCGATAGGCAGCTGAAGTAATTTCTTCGAACGTCACCTTAACAGGTTTATGTGGATTACATGAAGGATCTTCCACCATATCTTCAATTTCCTGCAATAAATAAGAATGATCTAACTACAGAGTAATGCCTATTGATGGCAGAAACATTAAAACTGGAGAGAACATGACATATATAGTGGAATAACGAAGTCTGTGAACCTCAATATCTAACGGAAAAATTTCACACACCACTCAAAAGTGAAGTTCCTGTAAATTTGGTATATAGTATTAAAAATATGCTCAAATATGTTTAAAATATGTTTTCCGTTAACCAGCTGTCGCACATCTACGAACGACAACCCTCAGAAGTCGAAACTCGTGCGACCTAAGGACTAACGAGGTATTATCTTTTGACGTGCGATTCCTGACACGGGTTGGACGATAGCAAGTGAAAATCGATCGTTCAGCAGCCCGGAACAAACATACAAATTCTTGCGATCACAATCCAAACATCAAAAGATATATATGAATTTGGGATAATCGTCACTGTCAACGTATGTGAATCATTCACAGAGATAAGCTGATTTTTCAATATTGTTTTCCGTTTTTTTATACAGTCCTACAAAATGTAGTCACCTTGTCCGCTTGATAAAAATTGCTGACGATGCCTTTGACCAGAGACGAAACATCTTACTGAAGCGTGTCATTTCAACATGATCTAAATTGATTTATAATTCATTGTTAGATAACATTAGCCATAATACAATGATTAATGAATGCTTAAATGCAACCAAATTGACCACCGCAGACTCACGTAGTGATAATCAAATATTTTTGTCTTTGTCTCACCCAGTTATAACGATATTATAGATCATATATTCATAATAATACCTTATTTTTGAAGTACAAATGGCATTCACCAAAGTAGAATTAGTTTTAGGTGCTTCATTATAATCTTCCAGCCATAATCATCACTACCAAAAGCTATTAGTTCTATGTATAATGTAACTAACCTGTAATGGTTCCATCTTATATTTCAAAAGATTTATTTTCAAATGGAAATAACATGGAAGGATTCCAAAAGAGTAAAGTCTATCTTCATTATAATAATATCACTAAGAGTAAACTAGGCTAAGCACATCCAAATATTGATATTAAAAGATTTGACCTTTCAATATATTTGGATGAATATTCTACTATTCATAAAGATAAACATGTATGGGTGAGATATGGAAATGCCTTTGAATACAATATATACTCACACCTCTTTTTAGAATCGCAACATTTATCAACCATCCACAACGATTAAAAATTCAGATTTAAAAAATGCACTACTTACTTGATCTGAATCACTCTGTTCCGACGAATATGCATACTTCTCCATGTTTACTTGAAAATCTAAAACCACACTGTCTTTTATATGTTGTTAATTAACTTTGGACAAAAATCTTCGGGATCAACTCGTCCCAACTGCGTCTGTAAATTACCGTATCAAATTTTGACCTTTCTTGAACCGACCTTATCAGTATCTGAATTGTTTAATTATTGATGTAGATATGAAATGTTCGAAAACATTAGGCTGTAATCATTTCATTCTGCTGCATCCAAAGAGTAATGGAAAGAACATGTAAACATGTTTATTGAATTATTCGTTTTGAAAGTAAGGTGTAGATGTAATAAACGTTAACACAAATAATACTGAAACTTGTTTGTCAATATGAGTGGACAAAAATATTCGTGAATTAACGAACTCTTTGTGTAGAGTTGATTGCTTGCTTCCTTCCTTTCTTTGAAAGATTCTCATATTTTTTTATATAAAGATGGAAATGTAGAAAGCCAAAATATTTATTTTGATCATAATGATCAATATAAATGAATGAAATTTCAAATATAAAAATAGACAAATTAACTTATTCAGGTAAAGGTAATCACCAGCTTGTATTGCGATTGAACACGTCTGAAGAAGCTTCTGTATAGTGGAGCATGTGTTGCAGTTCTTGGATTTACACAAATATTCTCTTAGTTTATATCCAGAAATAAAAATATTACATCTGATTTCAGTGTAGTCAATATCAATAAATAATGAACATTACTGGAGTTATTTCCAACACCAAACCTTTAACACCTCGACATGTGTTTCATTGCTGCTCCAAAGGTTCCAAACAGTGCATCACTAGTAATCAATATCACCTGACTTTAAGAAAATTGAATTAATACTCTACATAACTTTACTCTACTCCACTTCAATCACTCCAATGTATTAGAACTCTGACTGTAGGCCCTGTCAGCATAATTCCTAATGTTGAATAAAAAGAAGAAGAAAATAGAGAAGAAGAGATAAGATAAATGTTTATGAAATGCTTGAGATGGTTTATCAATAAAAACAAATGTTTTTAAATTGAAAAATGAGCCATGGAGTCAATATTAAAGCTTCGTCCTATATCAGAAATAAACGAGAGCGCCTTCAATACAGAAAATTGCCCAACAAAATCCTCAGATGAACAAGTAAACATTAAGCTAACCTAACTTTCAGCACTTATTCTCAACCTTGTTTCAGATTGATGTAGAACGACTAGTCTTGAAGAAATACGGAGACTTACAGGCAAGATTGAAAATCAATTCAAGCCTTCCTGAATTGCTGAAAGATCAACACAGGAGCTATTTGTTTGACAACATAAGCTACCTATCCTCCAGATATGAGGTAACTATTTTACATAACTTCAATTCAGACATTTAGAAACTCCTACTGCCTGCATATTCGTGATTTGAATAGTTATGTTCTGTAAGAAATGGCCAACATAGGAATCTGTCTGTCTATTATAATTATTATTCATTTTATAGTGTTTGGATGCAAGTCGACCATGGCTGTGTTACTGGATTCTCCACCCCCTGTCCCTTATGGGGATAACTTTGGACAACAGGAGAAAGGCCAGTATCGCAAGGTTTTTATCAAAGTGCCAGAATCCGGACGGTGGCTTCGGCGGGGGCCCAGGACAGTTTTCCCACCTTGCAGCCACTTACGCTGCCGTTAACTCCCTAGTCATTCTCGGGACAGAAGAGGCCCTGAACACAATCAACAGAAAAACGTTGCAAGACTTCCTTTGGAGAGTGCGGCAGCCAGATGGATCTTTCGCCATGCACGTGGGGGGCGAAGTGGACATCAGAGGAGCGTATTGCGCCCTGTCCGTGGCCAGTCTTGCGGGTGTGATGACTCCGGAGTTGTTTGATAGGACGGCGGAATGGATAGTCAGCTGTCAGACGTACGAAGGCGGGTTTTCCGGGTGCCCAGGCATGGAGGCGCACGGAGGGTATGCCTTTTGCGGGTTGGCTGCTCTGGTTATATTGAATAAGGGCCACCTCATCGATGAACAAGCATTACTGGTAAGTTGGCAATTTTTTCTATCTTTTTTCGCAGCCATATGTTCTGGGTAGGCTATGTTAATAACCTCCTGAGCCACCTAGGTCGTATCATGGCTGTCTGCAGTCCTGTCTTCCATATAACGTAGAAGAATCGAAACACCTTCAACTAGAAAAATTTGACATTTGCCGATTTCTCAAATTTAGCCAAACCTCAACAAAGTTAGTGCTTTATGCCTAACTTATCTTTCCAACGCATTTTTATTACCAATTGCAATTCTAAATACAACTTATTTCGCAAAAATTGCAAAGTTGATACTGTTTTTAAAAACAGATAAATATTTCTCTTTATTTCTACTTTTTGCGAAATAGCTTAATACATAAGCATAATTAAAAGACAATATCAATGAAAAGTCAATAATTTATTCTTTACTGCACTTTTCAAACTGTTGAACTTTGATTTACTAATTACGAAAAATTACAACGAAATTAAACTAAGGGTACTGTGGAAACAATTGAACTGAACTGAATAAGCAAAATATTTTATTGTCACATGACATTTGTTGAATAACTCAAAATAGTGTTTATCAGTTTTAGATTTAAAATAGATACAAATGCTGAATCTTCAAGAGAAAATTGAAATTGTTTTAATATGCGGCGAGAATACCGGTCACCGACAAGTAGCTGAAATTTTCAATGCCAGACATCCTGCGAGAAATATTCATCGGTCAACAGTTAGTAGGATGATAGCTAAGTTTAAATCTACTGGCTCGGTTGAGAGTAATTTTAGAAAAGCACATCAGCCTTCTAGACATACTGAAGAAGTGGAATTTGAAATATGTTTGGATGTCGTAGAACATATAAAAAAACAAGTATTCAAGATATTGCAGATAGAACAGATGTTAACCGAGAGAGTGTAAGACGATAAATTTACGCCTTATAAATCGAAATTTATCAATACATTAAAAGAAAGGAACTTCGATATGCGCTTGTATTTTTCTTTTTGGTTTCAAGGGGAAAAAGAAGAAAATTATCATTTTCCTNTTACAGTCGTATCTCAAATACTGAGTAATATGAAATGATATTATGTTCCCACAGTTTATATTACTACAAGTACAACAAACGAATTGCTACCCACTCCAAAATTCAATGAAAATATTTGTCATCGCTTTTTAACTTACACACTACCTAAAATTTGTAATATTCTACCCCTAAGAATAAAACGTATTAAAAACTATAAAATCTTCTCTATAGAATCAAAAAAAAATTATCTTCGAAAATTACTTTGAATTTATCCAAAAATTAGAACACCAATAGATACACTGCCACTAAATTGTTTCCTTCCTCTCTGTAGACAACGGTAATTTTATATTAATTATTATTATTTTGTAGCATAACACAAGTGTCAAGTCAGTTAGATGCTATACTATACACAATATTTACTTTATATACTGCAATCACTGTCTTTATATCTGTCTCTTCATTAGTGTTTTATTATTATTTTCTGTATTTTTGTTTATCAAATAAATGCAAATAAAAAACATCGTAATTTTTGTTTAAGTTTGACTACTTTTCCAGAGATGGCTCGTGAACCGGCAGATGAAGTTGGAAGGCGGTTTTCAAGGCAGGACTAATAAATTAGTAGATGGTTGCTACTCCTTCTGGCAAGGGGGAGCTTTTCCTCTGCTGTACTCTTTACTCGACAAAGGTAAGTGATGTCATTTCCCTGGAATCGAAATAATTCAAAATCAATCATTTCCATTGAGAATAGTTGTATGATTCTGAGTGGAAATGAGAATGTATCATTTATTTATTTATTTGGTATAAACGGTATAAATCTGTTTTGCACTTATAAAATTATTTCCCTCAATATAACCTCAAATGTTGTTTACTTTCATTGTATGACATACGTAAATAAGGTTATGAAACTTTATCTGGTGTACTTTTTATAGTGTTTGGACACATTGGTACCATGCAATATCTATAAAATGGCTTTTTTTCTTCTTCCATGATTATTACGTGATATTTAAACTAGCACACCTTGTTAACTATCAAACTAACTCTCAATGTAAACAATAAACTGACAGGACGTGCCCTATGACGTCACGCCTCAAGCGCGCGAGAAATAGGAGCGTTTGAACTTATGAAAAAATAATTACTACTCTCACAGCTATGTTTATATTTTTTTCTATATCAAAATGAAGTGAATATTGAATAAAAAAAAAAAAGAAAAAATTGTCTGCACATTCCCTAATAGGGAAGTATCTTCTGAAGATTTTATATTTTAGTTTCTGAGCGAATGTTAATTTTATCGTATTTTGTGACGCGTTCTAAAGCTGTAACTTTGTTATGAACCAAATGAAAATTTGAATTTAAATATTTCTATTTTTTTTTCTTTAGCCGGAAACATGCCTTCCGACCATCTCTTTAATGAATGTGCCCTACAAGAGTATCTCCTGGTATGTTGCCAAAATCCAGATGGTGGGTTGCTAGACAAACCAGGGAAACCTAGTGATATCTACCATACGTGCTACACTTTGAGCGGGCTATCAGTGGCTCAGCATTTCAAAGGCATTCGAGTGCTGAGCTCTCGGAAAAATACAGTGGTAAGAATAGATAGCACTCATTTACTTAGGTCCAAAATAAATGCTTTTTTTTACTCTTTTTATACTATACTAGTACTATGTTGCTGTTTCAATGTTTTGACAGAATCAGAATCAACGAACTTAGGCGTGCACAGCGTTATAAAACAGTGCTTTCAAAAATTGTCCTACAGCGCCATCTAGTGGCGAGTTACAGAAACATTGATAGCCTAAATAACTTACATTACTTATACATGTCAAGTTTCATCACGATCGGTTAGGCGATGTAGAAGTTTATCACTTACCAACCAACCAACAAACATCCATTTTTATATATTAGATTTATTTTATCTAAACTTTGGTATCAATCAGCCGTATATTGTTTAGAAAAATTACCATTGATGTTTTCCGATTCCGGAAAGGGAGCCTGCAAATCAGCTACCAAGCCTAAAGCAGTCGACACGCAAAGGAGGGTTACAAATAAGACAGCAGACGCGAGTGTTAATAAAAAAATGCTTTTTTCAAATGAAAAAATACATGTAAAGCGAGTTGGAATTATATCAAGGGAGGGTTGCGTACAGCGCTATCTGCCCACGGATAGACCAAGCAATAATGTTGATATATCAAGGAGGTTACATACAGCGCCATCTGCCCGCGAATTGATCAAGCAATAATGTTGATATATCAAGAAGGTTACATACAGCGCCATCTGCCCGCGAATAGATCAGGCAAGAATGTTGATTTTTCAAGTTCTAGTCACTAGTATTATAGATCTTAAATCTTTAATAGACGGCGCACGAATGTAAAATTCCTCTCAAACAACAATGAAGTTTGAGGTCTCAAATTCTATAGTAATACTGAGATGCAGTAAGTCTCCAACAGAGGGCGGACAGTTGTAAGATTTGTTTCGAAGTAAAGAGAAAATTTGCAGTAATAATTTCAAGAAACATTTCAGTCATGAAGTTTTGATTTGAAGTTCCATTCAAAATATTAATGGACTAAAAATATTTTTTCAGTGAATAATTTTATTTTTCAAATCAATTGATTTGATATGCATGTCAAGCACCTCTAATTTTTTGTTTTTTTGAAATGTTTGAGTAACTGAATTTTTTCAGGTGTACAATTTAGAAATCCATATTCTGGTTTGCTTTCAAATAATCGAATTAGATTTTAAAAATCTTTCGTTTCGTTCAAAACTTTTTTCTCTACCGAATCACAGGAATTGTAAATATTTAAATATTTCATCTGTTGTACAAAATTTCGCTAACACTTATAATTCTCAAAATATGTTTTTTTATTTTGATTTTCTTTTGAACAACCTGTCAAGTAGATTACGTATAGCGCCATCTGCCCGCGAATAGCTCAAGCAATAATTGTTAGTTACATACAGCGCCGTCTGCCCGCGAATAGATCAAGAAATGTCAATAAAGTTACGTACAGCACCATCTGCCCGCGAATAGATCAAGCAATAATGCCTATAATTCTGTTAATACAGCTTGAGAGTTACAAACAAACATACATACATACTTACAGGTGAAGCTAATATAAAGCGTGTAAAAATAATAATACTTTTCTAAATCAGATACAAATTTATGTATAGGAGTGAAAAGTCTTGAGAAAAATGAGCAATTTTTGGTAGTAATAAAGATTATTTACATCAACATACCGATGGATTTCGTGGCGGGGGATTTGGAGAACCCATGACTTGGTTTTCCTTTTGAAAAGTGCTAGGTTCTGGGTATTTACCGAATATTCTGGTGAAACATTACAGAGTTTTGGACCTAAGTTGAAAAAACTTATTTGCAATATGTTTCGCCAAATTTGATGTGATATAACATAAATTTTTTCAGATGACGACGCATTCTTTGTACAACATAAGAACCGATATGGTCAGAAAGGCGTTGCTCCACTTCAACAACTTAGGTTTACCTGCAGAAAAGAACTCCACGTGACGACAGTTTTTTCTTAACAAAATGAGTCAGTTCCAATGCGGTGTGCTTCTGGGGCGCGTCTTTCAGATTCTCACCCTCAGAGATGTATTTTGACGTATTTTATGAACCCGTTTTTAAAGGCATTTCTAGAGATAAGTCACAATTAATGTTTTATTATCGGAGTGCCGTTTTATTCCAAGTACGTAGCTTCAATGTGCCTCACTTTACTCATATTTGTAGCGGTTTACAATAAAATCTTTTAGTTGATATTTTGGAGTTTAATTTCCGAAGGTGGTATCAGTGTCGTTCCTACCGAAGAAAATAGTATTATTATTACTCTTTATTAGCAAATANACATATACAAAGGCATCGTATTTTATAATTATTTCAAGAACAAATATGGTAGTAAAAAAAATTTCAATGATTTTAAAACTTTCAAATCTCTTTTAAGTAAGTTCTTGCTGAGAGAAGCATTCTATTCTGTGAATGAATTTTAAAATGACTGAATATGACCTTTTCTTAACCTTTTTAAAAAAAAATTTGCGTTGAAAGTAGGTAGGTTGTGTATGTAGAATAGTCTTATAAATAGGTATATATTCTGATTTTAGTTGACTAGTCTAATGAAGTAGTAACATTTGTATACCAAATTATTTTGTAACATATTATGTTCTGCTTTTACAGATGATTAAATTCTATTCTATTCATGTAAGACAATCGACTTGAATATCAAAATCCTCTGCTACTACTACAGATTATGTTTGCCTTAATTTAAATGAAGAGGGTACTCAATCTCACGTTATCCCTGTGTCACTTTCGGATCATGGAGATGTTGTCACACATTTTTCTCTAGAATATAAAAAAAAGGGGGAATGGTGAGAGGCAGAGGTATGGCAGGCCTTCAAAAATACTTCTCCAAGTTCCAACTTAATGCCAATGGACTTAGATGGCTTGGTATTAAGACGAATTATTGATGACAATTACTTGAAATATATTCACTACATTTTCTTTTGAATGAATTTAATGAATCACAGCTTTTTATATGACTTGGCAAATTATTAAATGCAATCAGACCAGAACTATACAACGAATCACAACCTATATGTTCTCTGTTGATATAAAAATTTCCTATTCTATTTCTAGTGGAGTGTGTATGAATACTACTTGAGTAGGTTAACTGATCACTCAGATAAGGGACCTCGTATACACTAATAAATCTGCAAACGGTTATCCAAATTCAAAACATGAAGGTCGTATAAAGAATTGAAATACTTTTGGAGCGAAGGGTCATAATACCTTCCTTTCTTTTCGAAAAAGAAAAGTTGATAGCAACCCTCTCTGTGGCGAGTGATGTCACACTATTGTTTTCTTATCAGAAAGTACTAAAAATGATTTCTTTTCCGAATTCAATTTTCCTCAATACGGCTCTGCCCAAAACAGTCTGCGCACACTCAGTCGCATCTATTTCTAGACTGGCGCCCTCTCTCCTTTGTTCATTTTTATTTACCAATCAGTTGTTCACGTGAAAGGTTGGTTGTTGGAACTAACTTTTGCACTCTCTACGTGTTCGACGAACACTATGACGTGAGTTTTTTATCTCGGTGCCTGATATTGTGATAGTGAAGTGATCGAAAAGCAAATATGATCGCCAACGGGCAGATAGTAGGCGATGGAACGTGGGATCTGCGGGTTCTCGTCACAGATTTACAAACTGAGAGGCTGATCCGCGTAAAAGGAGACACTCACATCGGAGGAGTCATGCTGAAGCTCGTCGAAGATCTAGGTTTGTATTCATTAAAACGCCTTCCCGAAAAGTCATTTATTTATAACAGTTACGCCATGGTTTTATCAAGTTGAGGAACCCGTTCTAAAAGTTGGCCATGGTCAGTTGGATCCTGTTCAAAATAAATACGGCAGCAGGTTGCGTTTACCTGCGGTTTTGTGTGTTCTTGAACCGCGCGGGATGGTGGTAGATCAAACAGTGAAAGAAAGCTACCCCATATGACCGCAAATGGAAGTGTAAAATGATCTGTAGGCGGTGAATCTTAGGCGCATGACGTATCAGAATAAATATACAATGGCTCATGGGGATTTTTGTGTGTTTATCTAGTCACCCTTAGCTGATTAAGTCAATTCGTTTCTGAAAGAACAACAAAGTTTGCGTGTCGTTTTGCGAAATTCCTCGGGATCGAAGTAAATGCTTACGCGCAATGTGTTTTTAAATCATACATTCCCGCATAATACGTGGGTTGGTTTTTCCGTTCTTTGGTGTGATATGAACCATAATGCTGGCACTCCTCGATTTCTGATAGACACCTTGCGAAAATAATGGATTGGTTTCTTCTTTTTATAAATTAAATTCTCAGGATTCTTGTTGGTGTTTTATTGGTTGGAAAATTCTTTGTTTTGGTTTCAGTACCCTGCAGAAAAACATGACTTTATGGGGATATTTCTGATGTGTTATGAAATTGTGGTCAACTGTGAGTGGGTCCTTTTTAATTGAAAGCATAGAATACAGGACCGGCCCTAGAAAAATATTCGAGTCACAAAAATGATTTAGAGCCCATATTTCATTCTTTCACTTGATTTGATGAATTTTGATGAAATATGTTAACATCGACTAAGTAGGTTTGAAATCACGCCAATGTAGGTACTTTAGAAACGTTCTTATAAAATGTTTTTTGAGTTTCTACGGCTCCATTAATGAATATGTAAAGAATACTTGAGAGAAAAAGCATTAGAAGATATCAGTATATTGGATAAATATATGTCATTCACACTTTTCTTTCAGCTACCTCTTAAGTATACAATCTACTCCAATAAAATGAAATAATAGAAACTGCGTGGGATAATAGATGATGATGATTTTTTATATTTTGAATTTTTTTCTACCAATATCATTTATAAGTTGTTACTTTTGTGATATTTGCATGATGTATATGTTTACACTGTTGTGTATTCTATCCCAAAAACTAATAGTCCGACAACTGTGAAATTTGTACAGGTGTCATTTGAAGGTTAGGGTTAACTGAAAATCAAATGGACTTTATACTAGTAGCCCTATCTTTTTTGCGCTACGTCGCTCTGTTTCCAGTATTTTCCGAGTCAATTTGACGAAAAATGTATTGTCTACAGTCGAATTGAAGCGATTCCTGCTCGTGACGGTGCAGATTGGGGAGCAGAGGGGGAAATCGGGCGTGCAGGAATCCCAAAGTATAGAAGGCCTCAGGTGTTGTGACGACCTTGCTTTTTCCTCTGTGCGACACGTATTAATGCCCCTCTCGCTTCTTCAAGGACACTTCTTTGTGCTCGCTTTGTACCAGCTATAATACTAGGATGGTATACAGGGTGATTCTTTGAGAAGGATGAGGTTTGTTTTGGGTTCATTTCGTGTAAAATATTCATATAGACGTAGGTTCTGAAGGACTAAAATTTCGAGTAAGGGGGTGCAGGAGTTCAAGAATTTATTTTTATGACAACTTTGATAAGCCCAGATATTTTCATACTAATCTTCTTATGGGATTTGCACTGAATTTATTTGTGGAAAAAAGCGGCACGCCACTGCATTTCCTCAAAGTTATCACCGTTTTTAAAAGTTTTCATTTCATTTTACGCAAACCTCGAAATTTTTTCATTTAATGTAGGTGCAGTTGAAAAAAAATTAGTATTATATCTTCGAAGGAAAATACAATTAAAAAGGAGATTAGTGTTTCGGCTTTATTGTTCTCCATCATCAAACAAAAAATTGTGAAAGTTCCGAAGAAAGGAATGAAGAAATTGATTCGTTTGGAAGTGAAAGTAGCTGGAAAAGAAAGGTTTTGGCTTTCTACTTCTCCATCTTGATAAAAAAAAATGCAAGTAGTTATTTGGAAAGGGCCACTTCATCAAAGAAGTGGCGGCAAAATCTAGCCGATCTTTCAGCAAGATAAAACATACAGAAAGTCTGGTTTTTACAATAATCACTGGACAGGTAGGATCTCCTGTGGAGAGAAGGTCCTGCGCCTTTGTAATAGGTCAAGGAAAGGAAGCCGCATTCGAAGAAAATTGCACGGTGGGGTTTTGTCTATTGCAGTGTTAAATATTGTCGAAGGTTAAAAGGGATATACTTAAGTCTTTTTTTAAAGTTTCTGTTATTCAACAACCGTAATGATAATTTAATGAGGGTTTCCGAGTACAAGGTGAACTAACCTCACAAATGGCAATGTTCTCGTCATCCAAATGCTTTTTCTGATTTGAACTCTTCAAACTGGATAATCAAGCGGAGTCAAGTTGGGAGAACGGGGTGGCCATTCAATTGTACTGCACTATTGAAAAGAACTTTGTTTGAATAAGCTTCACTGGTTCAGAGGGAGATGACGGTTTGGCGGGAGTTGGCCATTTTCGCTTGGCGATGAGTTTCCGTATGTTGCGTATCTCTACGCTTGGCTGAATAAGTTGTTGGACATCATGTATGCGGCTTCCTTGAATTTTCTCCTAAACCACTGTTCCTCTCTGTGTATGATCTCAGCTTGGGACCACTCGATGTTGTTTTGATGGGTCCAAACACGGTCTGCTATTCCTTTTGCTGGTTTCCCCTCGCTGTGTGTGTTTCTTGTGCTCGGCAATGCGAACATTCAATGGCCTCTTAGTTTCACCAATAGAGGATTTTCCGCACTCACAGGGTATCCGGTGAATGCAATTCTTGAAATCGCAGTCCGCGTTTGGTGGCCTGGTTTTCGTGAGGCTGCTACGGATAGTGTTACCGGATCTGAAGCAGGTTCTGATGTTTTACTTGGAACCAATTCTTCTTATCCTCTCCGATAATCCTCTGATGTAGGGAAGTGCAAGCACTGGTTGTGACGGCATCTCTTCCTTGCGAGGCTCCTGCTATATTTTAGCCAAAGTCTTTTCTACCATCGCTTTGGAGTAGCCATTCCGATGATGTCTATTTCCTTCTCGAGACCTTCCTTCGTATTACAGAGCCCGAAAGCACGGTCTAATAGAGTCTTGATGATTCTTCTTTTAGTCGATTGATGGTGGTTGGATTCGTGGTTCAGATACTGTCCCATGTGATGGCGGTGGAGTCCCTCAAGGATCTAATCTCGGCCCATTGTTTTTTTCCAGTTCACACATAATTCATGAAACTCATATTGCAAATTATCGATGTCAACAGATGTTTGGAAGTTATACACATCTATATGACCGATTTGAAAGATTGTACTAGATTGCAACAGCAGTTAAATACTCATCATGGTTGGCAGCGCAAAAATCGTCCATTAGATTTTGTCAAATCTAAAATCTTGTCAAATTCGACGAAACTATCTTAGAAAATGCTAATACTATCACAGATCTCGGTGGCCATTTTGATCATCAAATTACTCATAAAAACCTCATTGATTTTATTGTAAATTCTGCCTCATGCTAACACTGTTTTGTTATTATCAGAAACTGTGAGACTTTTAATAACATTTTATCTCTTTCTTCCCTGTACTTCACTTAAATAAGGTGGGGGTATCATCACAGTCATTAGCGCCCAGTATAAAGTGTTTAGAAGGAACAAAATATAAAAAACACTTTTTGTGAGGTTGTTGATTGATTTGTCACAAATTAATATAGATAGCTGTCAAAACTTCGTAAATATATTCCTTTTGAAGAAGTTATTAGTAGTCAAATAGCGAAAGTCTACGAGAAATTTTTGAAATTCTTGAGTACAAATACAATTGTTTTGTATCCTCAAACTAGCAGATGCTTTTCAACATCGATGTTTTTTTTCTTCAAGCCGATCTAGCGAAATCAGCTCATTTTCATTCATCTTCCTAGTTAAACACTTAATACTATGAGCAAACATTTATTCAAGAAAGTAAATTGGGATATGCTAGCGGCATACACTTAATAGATACAATAGATTCGATAGGGCGGCATTTTAATTTACATATGGCTGCTTGTTTTGTCTGCCGACGGAATTTAATGGACCCGTTTCATTTTTATTATCGGCCGAATTAAATAGCCCAGGAAAAGTGCTGGAAAGTAACCAAAATGGGTGAAAGAAAAAGTCGAATATAGTTCGGTAAAAGAGTTACAGGGAAAGTCTGGATGATAGTGGAACGGAAAATTTACACGGTATTGTTATTACCAGATTAACCACTTGAGGCGCACAATCGATTATCAAAATATACTTTATTGACATGTCGGGACTGGTGATAGGTGAATTATTATTTAGACGAACACAACGTTTAACAACAATAAAATGTATTAACAACAAAACACAACGACAAACGTAATACGAAACGGAAAATTGTAGGGTGACGTCGAGGAACTAACGCTAAGTCTTTTCTCGATCAGCGATGAGACTCTAGTTCTCGGTGGAAACCCCAGAATAAGAAATAGTTCTCGGCCGAAATACCAGTACAGAAAGAATGCATCGGCTAAAAAGTTTGTTCGAAGTAACTTTCGAAAAATCATCACTGGCAATGGTCGGGGTCATAAATATAGTCAAGAAGGGTCAACCACTTGGACCCGAATTCCTTGTCTTAATCCATAAAAGTGTTAACGCTATGTTCAGACTAGTCCTGCCGAGAGGTGTTCAGAAGCAGTTGTTAAACTTTCACAGGTATTTATTTATATGAACTATTGAATATATGTTTGAATTTCATGGCTACCAACATTCAACCAAACAATTTGAAAAATATAACAAGCCTGGCCAGATTCAAAAATAGTCTTGAGCATTAATTGAAGGGGTTATATTTTTAGGAGTAATTAATTTTTGGTCTTGAGTCGTTTTTTATAACGTTTATAAACGCTTTC